TACACCAGCTGTGTCTTTAATAAGTAACTGTGTGGGCTCTCGCAGTTCAAATATTTACTTAAACATAATAGAGAACCCAAACAGAACTGAGATACATGAGAATATCCACCTCTAATGTTCACAGTGGATTTGTGCAGTAGATTTGCAAACTATAAACAGATGTGTTTTGATGACTTTCTCTCCTCTGTCTGGTCTCCACTTATAAAACACAAGTTCACAGATTAAGCTTCTCAGGGTTTTTCACCTGGGAAAAGCTTCATGTCTTTCTTACTGTTGAATTTATGGGGAGAAGTCCAAACACTACTCTGTAACTGAGTTTCGCAAAAATCAGATTTGGCATCACTAGGAAAATACCTCCAGAGTGGTGTTCTCTCACTGCAACCTGAGAAAGTCACTACAGGTGGCCAAAGGGAGTTCCATACCCTGTTGCAACTCAGGAAGGTTACTCCTCCAGATCACTGCTGAGGACAGTAGATGAGTCTCACCTCTGCTGTGGTCAGAAAGGGAGCTGCAATTTTCTGTAGTCACATTTTGCCTGTGACTCTCTCTGGGCAAAGGTGAACATCATGGGATAGACATGAGATGGGAGATTGTCGCTGATAGATCAGAACCACTGGTCTTCATGAAAGCTCATTAAAGCAAAGTTAAGTTTCATTACATTGTTTAGAGCTTTAGGTACTAATTGCCATCATTTGAGGAGCATAAATATGTTTCATCTTGCTTTACAGATGGAGAAAAAGGTAGGGGACTTATGCTGCCACATGTGGATCCTAAGACAGGACTGTTTCTTTCTCTTCTCCAAGTGACCCTATATGTGACTATAATATAAAAACATAAGAGTCAGTGTAACAAATAAAATTAATTTCATTATGGGATGCACAGAATGTTTGAAGAATCATCATGTGATGGTGATAAAACACTGCAACACCCAGGGCTGCTTTTTCTTCCTTTCATTTGAGTCCCGGAATAATGCATTTCTTTCACAGTTTGTTTTAGGGAGACCAGGTTTTCTCTCTGACACTGTTTGGTACCTCTTCTTGCTACTCAGTGTTACAGCATGTGGTCTTTGAAATTTGAATCCCAACTTCTTTCTGGAGAAGCATTAACTGAAAAGGCAGCCTTTAGGGTTAGGCAGCGAAAGGTAAATTTTCAGCTCCATGAGCAGGAACTCAGTTACATGACTTGCATTACTATTAATGGGGGTCATGCTGGTAAATTCCTGTACACCACATTGCACATTTACTCATGAGTGCAGAATTGGCACAGCTAGTGAAACTTGCCTTTCGGGTAGCATGTATTTCAGGAGATGGGTCTGACAGGCAGAAAGGATTGCTAAGTACCCAGATGAAAGTCCGGCTTTTAACTCCTTGAACATATTTCCAGAAAATAATAGTGTGAATTAATGCTGGTTAGTGTTAGCTGCTCCTACTGTTAGGGATCAGTCTTGCTCCAGTAGGATTTCATTGAGGCAAAGATCATGCCTGAAATGTGAATGTGTATGCTGTCATGTGGTGTTGGCAATTCACTTTCTGGTGCATTTTCCAAGTACTACTCACTGTTACTTATTTTCTTTCAAACATAGGCCAGTCCTCTGCTAACATAGGCTTCTATAATCGTAAACAAATAAAGGGTTTTTTTATCATTTTCAGCCCTGCTATTTTCCCAACAATGATCCCTCCTAGGGCTGAGCATCCCCTGCTGATTCCCAGCCTACATTACTCACAGGCATCTTATACCCCTTTTTCTTGTACTGTGTCTATTGCAGTGATGGCATCTTATTTCCAAAACTCTTCTCTAGCCTTTACTTTGCTAGGCTAAACATGCCAAGTCCATTTCGCCTGTTTGATATGATAAACTTGCTCTGGCTGCTGTTCTGTGCACCTGCTGTAATTGGAAGGTATTTTTAGTAAATGAAACAAAACTGCCCAAACATTCCATCCTGTTCAGTGTTATGAAACTTTCCTCATATGCATCTGTGCAACAGCCCAGTGTTGTATTGCCTTTTTAACCTTTTAATCTCACCATGGTTCCTCATTGTTTTGTAGTTAATTAGTAGGGTTGTTTTATTATTTTTCATCGTTCAGTGCTGAGGGTTTCAGAGTCTGCAATAGGAATTCTTGTCATCAGATCCCAAGTTTCGTGTTGTGGGATTAATTCTCTTTCTTGCATGCAACTATTCAAAGTGATTTTTTTTAAATGCATGATACTCTAAATATCCTTTGCATCACTAGTAACCTATATTTAATATTAATCAAAGTATTTAATGAATAAAATCTGTTCCATGATTCATTGCCAAAAGAGCTCCTAACTTGGGCTTTTTCTGATAAAGTCTTTTATTTATTTCCCATTATTTTAATTATAGAGTACTCCCTATGTTAGCTGTTGAGAAGATGAGTAGTGTGTATTACTAGAAGATGAGTAATGTGTAATTGCCACATATTTTGAGATCTCGTCCCGTTAATTCAGTCAGAAAATATCTCTTTCCTTTCCCAGTAACATATTCTTGCATTTTGGGAAAAACCTGTCAAATTCTGTCAAGTGAGCCTTTTAACATGGTCAGAAAATCACTTTGTGTTTGAACTAAGTAGGGTTTGAACTGCCAATAGATTTCTTTTCATTCACTGCAATATTCCCTTTCTTCATGGTTCTGTGTGGTCATCAGAGCCAAAGAGATGCCAGAGATCTGTACTGCAATGAGCAGTCAACATCTAGAGAAATACTTTTCAGTTCCTATGTTAAATAAAAGTAGAAGAAAATAAATTTGCTGCTGCAGCTAGTGACTGTGAAGGAGCAGCTGCAAAGTGCTGAGTCTCATCAGGTTGCAATCATGATTAACACTGGGCAGATCCCCCCTGCTGAGGGAATAAATACCCTGCCTTTGTCAAGGCTTCCATGTAAGAAACAATAGATTGTTTCAGTGAAGCACAAGAACATAAATGATAATCGAATCATTCCTCTGAATGAATAGAAGTAGCACCCAGAATGTAAACATTTTCATTTTGGAAGGGAAGGTCTGCCTGTCAGTTGGTTAGTTTTCCGTGTATTTTTTCATTTACTTTGAAAAGCTGCTCACTAGCATTGCCATCATTGCATGCCATAACATTTCCAGCACTTCAAATACGTATGTTTCCTATCTTTCCAAGCTAGGCAGTGGCAAAGTCCAGGGAGTATTGGAAAAAATAAAATCTGCCTTAATATCATTAAAGAGAGGTCAAGACCTTATACTGAATAACTGCCAAACTATGTGATCACATTGGTTCTTGGTAGAGGAAATGGAAAATACTTTCCAGCTGGAATTGACACCAGGAAACGTGTTTTAAAAATGTTTTTTTATACATTGGGATATTTGCACTTAAAAATAAATCTGTCTCTATACAGATGATGAAAGTTGCTGTAAGTATGTTAACAAATTTATGTGTCTGTAAGTGAAACAGAAAGAATTCATTTATCACCTTAGTGCTTCCTTGTCTGCTGTACAAATAAGGAATTTCAGAACACAGTCATGCAGTACATGTTTTAAAGCAAGCGTACAGCAAGCTACAGATGCCCAGCCATCTTCATTTTCATATGGATACAGATATTGTTGATTAGCACATCCAGTAAATATGTTTGGACTTTCAGAGCATCTGGTCAGATCCTGCTGACTTCGTTTCTGTGGGGTGTGCCTTGCAAAGCCAGTAGAGTTCAGCTCAGTGCTTCTCTTGTACCCATAATGTCCTCAGAGATCTTGCACCTGTGGTAGATGACGACCCCACAGCTCTATATGACCATTAAACATGGGAACAGTTTTCTTACAGGATTTGCTAGTTCTTCACTCAGACTGCTATGCTTCTGTGTGCACATGCACCTTTTTTAACAGTCATAATGCACTTCTCCACTGGCCAAATCTGTCTCTTGAGTTTCTGCACAGAAAACATCATCTCCTGCCAGTCACTCCGGAATGCATCTCATCAGTGGCAAAATTAGTGAAGATGATGAAGGATCTGTTTGTGGTGGAAGTACAGACATTTGATGGCTGATATTGAATTCCTGGTGGTCCTATAGGAAAGCCTGTCTGTTGGGATCACTGAATTTCCCCACTCAGTAGGTGCTGAAGTGGGGAGACCACAAACTTTCAGCAGGTGATGGGCAGAGTGAGCCAGTAACAGTGGAGGTGTGAAGCTGAGTGTGATAATTCTAGCTTTGTGGCTCATGTTCACCAGGACACATTGTGATTGGGTGGGCAAGAGTTTCCTACTGCCTGGGAGAAGCAGAGGTGAGGAAAAGCCAGGGCTTTTATTGCTGCTCTAAAACATACCTTCCATGCTGCACCTGTGTGCCTGCACCAGAGCAAGTGCAGGTACATCCATTATTTTTGATTGTTCAGCTCCACAGGTCATTGGTCTCTATTTTTCTGTAACTAGAAACTGGGGGCTTCTCAGCACTGGGCAGTGGTTTTTCATGCACTCCATCCTGTAGCTGGAACAAGCTGGTTTCATCTAAGTTCCCTCTCAGCCATCAGACAACCCCTCACTACAGCTTTTATAGAGGCCTGAACTCAGTTTCTGGTAGCCTGGACAGAGTGCACCCATCAGAGAAAATGTGATTTAAGCCTTTAATTTAAGCTTCAGTTGTAATAATACATCATTTTAGGGTTTTCATTGCCTTGAGGTGAAGATGTGCAAAATGAGCATAATTTATTAGAATTTACTGTGCAGAAGTGGGAAAACACCTGTTTGATGTGATTTGGGCCAAAGTGGTTCAGCTGTGGAAAAGACCAAAACCACTTCCAACCACCCTGTGTATCATACTGGGCATGTGTGGACTCTGACTAAAGTCATCCATCAGGTTTTTTCTTGCCTAAATGTCATAGGACAGCCTAACTTCTGCTGTTTCATTTACATCTTCAATTTTTCTCTTCTTTGGGGGTAGTGAGAAGTATGTTGTTGAGCTGACTGAACCAGTATTTAAATCCCACGTGTATGTAGTACTGTATGACATGTGCCATTTGCTTTTTGAAGCCAAACATTGGCCGATTAGGAATTCCCCATGGGCCCTCTGGAGAGAAGGTGGCTGTGGTGACTGTGGACGACTGTGACACGGCAGTGGCCGTGCGCTTCGGGAGCCTCATTGGAAACTACACCTGTGCTGCCCAGGGGACTCAGACTGGCTCAAAAAAGTAAGGATTCCCTATATTTGTGTTTTCCACTCATTCTCTTTTTCCAGTGGAGAGTCAACACCTTGCAATTAACCACTGAGCACTAAGTGATTAACCGTAAGTTGGAAAAATAGATATGACGTAACAAGAAAAAGTAACAAAGTTTAGTTTGGGATATGGAATTACTTCTACCATTTAAGTTAAGAGTCCTATCTTAAAAGGAGGTAGAAGTAAAGGATGTAAATAAACAACCATTGAAAATCACTGGGTGTGAGAAAAGGTTTCCTGTGAAGAAAGAAAAAAAAGTTGGTACTTTTGAGTTTAAAGAAGAGGTGAACAGCAAGCAACATAGGGGGATATAAAGTAATGAGTGATAGCAGAGAGACCACTGAGAGACACATGGTGCTCTAACATCCCAAGAGAGGTGCCTACTATAAAAACTGTGGCTAATCCAAATGACCAGATGATAACACTTCTCACACAGTGTGGAGTCATTTAGTAGAACCTACATCCACTAAATGTCATTAAGACTAAGACCTTCAGAGGATTTTAAAAGGGTTGGCACTATATGATAATTAGGTCATTATATGAAAATGTATTGCTTCTCAACCTTGTGCTGAGCGGCATCAGCCAGTTCCTGTATGGCTGGGGTCAGAAAGAAGTATCCTGTGGCTACACATTTTTCTCTAATTTTAATTTCCTTCTGCATACTAGCAACTGTTAGGGACAGGTCACTGGATTCTATATAGACATGACAGCTCCTGAGTTAACAGTTAGTGTTACTGGACAGACCTTTGATTACAAGCTTGGGAAGTGCTCATGTAGCAGAGGGAAGTGCAGCTTAAATGTGCTTATAGAATCAGTAAGATAAAGAACAAAACAAAACTCTTTGCAAGAAATTATGAGCATTTCTTTGTTTCTTCAGATCTTTGGACCTTACTGGCCCTCTCCTCCTTGGTGGTGTCCCAAACTTGCCTGAGGATTTCCCGGTGCACAACAGGCAGTTCATTGGCTGCATGAGGAACCTCTCCATCGACAGCAAGCCCATCGACATGGCTGGTTTCATTGCCAATAATGGCACTCTGCCAGGTATGGGCAACTAGTGCCCCAAGGGTCAACACCAGAAAGGTCTCTGCCACAGCTGTGCGTAGGGCACAGCTTAGGATGTCAAGGAGGCTGGTACTGGAAGGAACCCCAGGAAGGGGAAGGGGACACAGGGTTCTGGAATGTCCTCCTGTTAGCACTGTTGAGGGGAAAGCAGCTATGGGACAGGGACTTAAGGTGCTGTATGGCATTGTGCTGCCACTGTGTCTCCAGCCAGGCCTCATTTGTTTGAGTAATGTGCAGTCCACACCTGTGCCAGGGAGGCATACAATAGCCCGTGGCACAGGGCACGTTTCCAGGATTCAGCAGCACATCAGAAAGGACTGGCTTGTTTAACCTTTCTGCATTGCTGGGAGTTTCAGCCAGGAATTCACTCCTAAATTAACTTCTCCTCTTCTATTTTTAAACTACCTATTAAATGTCATTTTGCTCTGAAAGCCAGTGGGATTTGTTCATGAAAAAGACAGCACTTACAATGACTTTTTAATAAATTGTGTTTGTTCTGTAAATAAAATTCTGCAATCCCCCAAATGTGAAACCTGCTTCATGGAGCAGCCTGTTGGAAGTTCTGATTTGATTTCCAGTCCTTGGATCCCTGATCAGGATTAGTTCCAGTGATTAGGCATACCGAATGTTCTCATCATCCTAAAACTGGCTCTTACACACAAAAAATGGAAAGTCCCTTCTGTCCATGCTGCTGAAGGTCTGTGTAAGAGCTAAATTGCAGTTCTAAAGTATGTTGCATTGATTGTGGATTAAGGAGGGAGTCCTAGCATATGCCTTTGATAGACAGACTTGTCTTTATGCATTTAACACATGATCAGCTTACGTAAACTTTTGCCATCCACATTTTGCCTCAAAAACATTTTTTAAAAAAGGCAAAAAACCCAAACCTATAATAGTCATGTCTTCTTTTTATGTAAAAACTCGAATACAGTCATTCAGAGCCTTTTTTTTTATTGAAACCATACAAAGTAATGGTTTTCCTGAATTGCAGGCTGTGCAGCTCAGAGGAACTATTGTGAAACCAACTGGTGCCAGAATGGAGGCACGTGCATCAACAAGTGGAACACGTACATCTGTGAGTGCCCTGTGCGCTACGGGGGGAAGAACTGTGAGCAAGGTAGGCTGCACAGAGCTCCCTGTGCCTCTCATGTGTGCACCTGTCATTGCCTGTCTTTGCCATCTCACAGCTCCTATGTCCAGCTGTGATGAGTGAGGGTAACAGAAGATTGCAGTTGAGACTGTCACCCATTATCTATTTGAAATAAATTTAGAGATCCCCTGTATAGTAGATGACATACTGTCATGAGTAAGAGCAGCTTTCATTGATCTACTTACATAACCAAAGTAGTTCCAAAGAACTTGGCTGTATTTAGTAATTTGTTTATCGTAAAAATGCCTGATCCTAAGCCCCTTTAAATCAGTGGAAAGAATCCTGCTGACTTTACTGGGCTTTGACTCAAACTAGGGATGAATGTGCTGTTTTAATCACTACTTTTTTGGCAAGAAGGCATTCTGTGCTAAGTAAGAGCACTTTCGGTTTGACTGGATTTCTCTTTGATTGAGCACAATGTGCATATATATGTAAAACCTCATTACTAAAGGATAAGGAAGGAGCAGCAGGTGAGTTTTATAGGATGTGAAGGACTTGCAGTCAGTTTTTCCCCTAGAAGTGAGGAGTTACCTGTCTGAGGAGTCCCATGGGGGTTTGTGCTGTAGGGTGGCTGCTCCTTTGGAGTCTTTCTGGATGCTTCCAGCAAAAAAAACGTGCTTCTGCTGGGCCAGGTCTAGGTGGTGGCAATTTCTCTTCCCTTTCCTGAGAAGCAGCAATATTATCTTAAGAGGAGAGGACACATGGTTAAGTTTCTGTCTTGGAGATAAAGGTTTGCAGAGTGAAGAACAGGGAAAAGGAGTGATGGAGATCTCTTCCTATGCTCCACCTCACACAGAGCCCAGTGCTGTTATTATTGCTCCTAACCTGGTACCTGCTTTCTGTAGCAGCTCCTCAAATATTTTGAGCTTCCCAGGTTTGTATGAATATCTGATTTTTCTATGTGTCTCATGTCAAGAATGTTTGTTGATGAAGTTCCTGTATTTTCTTCATGATTGGCTGTTCTCTGTGCTACAAATCCACTCTGATGTATCCTGAGGGGAGTGCCAGGGGCCCAGCTGTACTGCTGTAAATGGGAGTACTGCTATCACATGCAAAGACTCTCCTTCTCTCTGTTTTTCAAATGGAAATTCAAAATTTAATCAAATGTTTCTTTTATTTACTATTTTCTTATCCCAAACTCAAGACCAATCCACAAAGTTTGGGATTTAGATTATCATCTAGGAGCTGCCCTGTAGCCATCCCTGGAAGCTCATTTTAAATTCAGGTGAAAGAGGTGATGGCAGTCACAGCAGCACTGCCTCCCCCCAGTCCCAGCTATCACCTCTGCCTCCAGCACTGTGCATTCCTGCATGTCCCCTTTGTTAATGAAAAACCCCATGTTCTGATGCCTCAGTTTGTGGGGTTTTTCTGACAGTTTGAAGGCAGCAGGTTGCTTGGTTCTTTAATGGTACTTGCGGGCCAGTGTCCCTGTGGAAAAATTGCAAGCCAAGAAAGAAAACAGAATGTGACCAAAGATTTCCAGAGCCCAAAGTTAAAGTCAGGAGATAGAGTCAGTCACAGATGTGCTGTACTCCTGTCTTTCAAATTTCTTATTTCAATGCTCAGCTGTTATACTAAGAGCATTAGCTATTATTAGGCAGCTATTTTTTAAAAAGTCTTCAATAGAATATTTGCAGTCTTGAGTAGGAGTGCTGCATTTCTTTAATCCCTATGGCAGTGCTGGTTCTGCTTCAGGCTAACAGAGGACAAAGACTTTGGCAAGTTACTAATTAACCTTTTTTTCATTTCCTGCTCTTCAAACCTCTGGGATCTGGTCTGCACTAGTGAGGATGGGATGTTTTACCTTCACCACCCTCCTAGAATCTGTTAATTCACCTTCTGCCAGCTCCCTTCTCCCTCTGCTGATATATAGATAAATTTAAGGAAAAATTAGTTTCACCTTTATTGTAATTTAATTCCTTTAAACTATTAGGTGTTGCAATTCTGTGAAGACCTAGCAGCTGTGTCTGACTCACTCTTGGATGGCCAGTGTCATTGCGCTAGCCTTGGACTGCACCTAAATATAAACTCCCACATGTCCAGCACCCACACTGCAGGTGACATCCAGTGGGATGTTGGCAGCATGTTTCCCCAGGCCCTCTGTCCCTCACGTCTTTCTGCTGGCCTGTTGAGTGCAGGACTCTCTTTAGAGTGAACAGAGATACACAGGCAGTGCTTCAAGTGACAAACCCTGAGCCCAGGATCAGTTTGCATCACTGCACCGCCGATGGCAGGGGGTGCTGGGAAGTGTGTGGGCCTCTGTGGTGACAGGGGAGGTCAGGTCCCACCTGAGGACAGTGGATGTGCCACCCCTGCCATGGACACTCCTGGTCCCAGGCATGAGAAAGGGCTGGGGGGAAGAGGGAAGTCAGAGGGGGCTGACAAATGGGGATATCTATTTAACTAGCAGGGAAAGGTTCACCCTGGCCCCAGGGAAGGGAGGGAAGCTGGGAGAAGGTGTGGGAAGGGAATGGTATTTGCAAGTACAGAAAGTCACCACCAGTGAGAAAAGGAAGAAGGTGGCTAATTGCCATGCCAGTCCAGTTCTCCCAGGAGCAAAGGCGAAATGCTTGCAAACAGCATTCCCAGCCTTCAGCAGGTGGGAAGCCCACAAGTTTGCATCCTGCCTCTGCACTCCAGAGGCAGATAGGCTCAAAAATCTCAGCAACAGCCCAGAAAACCAGCAGCAAAGTTGGAAGCTGAGGTTATTGTGAAGGTCAGCAGGTTAGAGGAGGAAGGCAAAGGCTGATTTTTGCACAGGTAGAGCAAGAGAAAATAATCCTGCTCAACACTGATGTCCTGGCTGCTTTTACATTGATGTGGTGCAGTGTGGGCTGATGAATTGTGCCTTGGCCCAGAATTGTGCCCTGGCCCAGAGAGGCAGAACTCAAAAGTCCTGGCTGCTTTTACATTGATGTGGTGCAGTGTGGGCTGATGAATTGTGCCCTGGCCCAGAGAGCCAGAACTCAAGCACTGCATCCAACTTTTAAGCAATCTGAGGACATCTGTATCTGGTGACAATCTTTTTTAATGTTGCCATCTGGTTTTCAAGAGCAGGCTATGCTGCAGTTGTTCCACCATATGCCCTCTCTGGCATTTGTGGTATGACTGCAAAGGTGAGACCACAGGCTGGAGCAGGAGGCAGAAGGGCTGCCCCTTGGACTGCCTGCCCTTAGCCTGATGTGAGGTGGTTGGGTAAGCACATCTTAAGGAAAGGGAGGTCAAGTTCCACCTCTGGCTTGACTAGTGGTAGCCCAGTAGTCCCTGACTTTTTGTTTCTCACAAATAGGGAGCTAAAGAGCTTGCACTTTACTCCAACCCCTGCACTCCACTCCTCACCCCAGCCTTTCCCTTTATAGACACCAGCAAGGCAGACATACGAGAATTTGGGTTTGGCTTCATTCCTCAAAAAATGCAGCTTCACATCAACTTTCCTCCATTTTCTGGTATGGTGTCATCCCTCAACCTTTTTCTAAGGACTTACATATGGTACATAGTAACACGTATGCATTTGTATATACATGATCTCTCCTACTACAAAAAATCCAGAAAGTGTCAGCAGTTATGGTAATGTGGAGCAGAAGGGGAAAGCCTGTTAAGCCCTGTGATTTCACTGACCAACATGGACTCAGCACATGATGAAATAAAAGGCTGGGTGCTAATTTCTGGTGGTTGTACCCACTCTCTAAGGCCTGCTTCCACTGGCAAAAAGCTGCCATGAACTTCACTAACATGCTCACAAGCAAGGATGTCAGGAAGGGGCTGACTGTAGATCCCCTACAAGGTTCCACACATGGTGGAGGTGTCATATGAGGTGTTGCAAACAGCACAGATCTCCCACGGCTATATTTATGCTTCTAGTCAGTGGGATCAACGAATCCATGTAGCTCCTGTTACCCAGGGTAACAACTTTAGAAGTACAAGGGGATGAGTGTTCCTCTGTTTTCCATCAGCAAAGTGCTTTCTATTGGAGGCTGTCATTGGTGTCACCCTGTAGGAACTGTGCTTGTGCAGTTAGAGAGGGGGGCAATTTTGCAGCTCTCACCTCAGGATATTTAAGGCAGGCAATTTCCACACAAACTTTCTCCCTGTGAAAAGGCTGTGTGGCTGGGACAGCTGAATAACCTGACCCTGGAGTATTCACAATTCATTCATGTTTCCTGTTGCCTCCCAGCCTTTTCCTGTGTTTAATCTGTTAATTAGAAGCAGGTAATCAAGGTTATGTTGAAAACATCTGAAGCAACTGTTGCCCTCATACTTCCTGCTCTGTCCACCCACTCACCAGCAGAACTATATCAGTAGAGATCCTGAGCTTAGCTTTCTAGGAACAGCTCTGATGTGGGTAATGCCATAGCAGTGTGGAGGTGCTGCTTTTGAGTACAGGCACCAAGACAAGATGCCTACCCACAACCAGGGTAGGTTGTGAATTTGCAGTATTGTCAACTGCTTCACAGTAACTTCCCTAGACCAGCTCTTCATCCATGCTAGAGTGAATATAGCTCAGTGGAAGAGGGACAAGCTCCCTTGTGTCATCACTGTGACATAGCATCATTTTTCCTCTTCACATTTGTCCTGAAGGATACAAACTGTTTCTCTTGTGTATTTTGATTCACAGCAATGCCTTCTCCTCAGCGTTTCAGTGGTGAGAGCATTATCATTTGGAGTGACCTTGACATTACCATCTCTGTGCCGTGGTACATTGGGCTGATGTTCAGAACCCGGAAAGTCAATGGCATGTTAATGCAAGCCAATGCTGGGGCTGCATCCAAGATCAACATTCAGGTAAAGTGTGGCTGCCTTTGCTTAGGAAAGAATTAATACTCCCCCAGCAGTGAATTATGGCCAGATGAACTACACAGCTTCATCCACCTGCATGTCAATAAAAACATATCATTATTTTAGCCTTTTACAATGATCAAAGGTCAAAATATCATTATAAAAATCATTCATTTAAGACTATTTTTCTAGTCAGAAGTAGTAGTGGGCATTAATATAGATGTAAAAAATGGATCCATTTATTTGGGGATTCTTTGCCCATAAGGGAAGTTGGAGTCTGAATATCCAAAATTATACAAGGAGTTTTTGCAAGCATTCCCATTTTTACTCTTTGAGCTTTTTTTCTTTTTGGGTTTTCTTAGGAAATGTTATTATCTTGCCTTCCACCTCCTTCTGCATCAAGTACAAATATGTAGCAAAAAAAGACATGGTTGGGGTTTTTTTTCCCCACAGATACTGAACAATTACGTGCAGTTTGAAGTGTACAGTGGCCTGAGCCAGGTTGCTAGTTTGAAGATGAGCCAGTCACGGGTCAGTGATGGGGAATGGCATCATTTATTAGTAGAGCTGAAGAGTGCAAAAGATGGTAAAGATCTCAAGTACCTTGCTGTCATGTCCTTGGACTATGGGATGTATCAGGTAAGGCAGCATCATAACTGCACAACTGAGCACTGCACAAATGCTTTTAGGAGAAACTAGGATAATGGACTGTGGACAAGTACTTATGCTCTGAGACATGTTCTGCAGTGATTTATGCATAATCACTGACATTAATTTATTAAGCTTTATGATATCTTACAAAGAAGTCTGTAAAAAGACACATTCCAATGTCTGGCTCCTCACTGCTTTGATGTTTTTTATGTAATCTGTCAGCTACTGCTTGACTCCATCACAATTCTGTTTCTGTCACAGAGGATGATAGTGCTTCTTATCAGCTGTTGTCTTCCTCACAGAGCACTGTGCAGATTGGAAATCAACTACCTGGATTGAAAATGAAAAGCATCATTGTGGGAGGTGTCTCTGGAGACCAAGTCTCTGTTCAGCAGGGATTTTATGGATGTATGCAGGTATGAAATTAAAAGTGTAGCAATAAATTTTGAACTCATGAGAAAATGCCCAGGTGAAAATGTGGGAAGTTTCTTTTTCATCCACCCTCAAACATTTCTGTTTCCTCCATAAAAATTATCTAGGAATCAAAACATTAAAGTCTACCCACTTTGCCAGGTACAAATCTGATCACATAGGGGAAAAACATTTGAAAAAAAACCCCTGGGTTTGGCTCATCAGGTGATTTCTTTAAAATGTACCCTCATTGATTGATGAAAATAATGAAACACATAATACTGTACTCTGAAAGGAGACTATAATTTTAAAATAATTGTCTTTTGTCACCAGGGAGTAAGAATGGGAGAGACATCTACAAACATAGCGACACTCAACATGAAACAGGCTATCAAGATCAACGTAAGGGAGGGCTGTGAAGTGGATAACCCTTGTGATTCCAACCCATGTCCCCAGCACAGCTACTGCAGTGACGACTGGGACAGCTACTCCTGTGTCTGTGACCCAGGTAACCTGCTGGCCACTCATCTAGGAGCTGGATCACACCTTCACGAGCTCATCAGAAGCAGCACAGCAGCAGCATGCTGGCAAAGCGTTCATCTTCTGATTCTTCCTCTTCCAATCAGTATTACCCTTCTCACTCTTAATGTAGCACCCTGGAAGCTGCAGTCCTGGGCTAAGAATCTAAGCAATGTATCCACCAAACAGAAAGACAGTCTTTGGTACAAAAGACTCCTGTGCACCTCCCCTTTTCTTTTTATGTTGGGTTTTTTTTTTCTTTCTCAGCCTTTTCTGCTGTTTAATTTCAGTCTCTCACTCTGCATCCTAATCAAGATACTTTGAATGTTTTCTCTGTTTTGGAGCATGTAGCCAGCACATGCTGTCAGCACCCCGTACAGTCACCTCCCATACATGCAGCAAGAGAATACAAAACTATTTGTAGCACATGCCCCAAATATAAAACTGGGAACCAAAGGCACAAGGGTGCCTCAAGCATGGTAACAGACTGTCAAAAAGAATGGCTTACTATCATTTTGTTTGAGAGGGAAAAGAGTGCTTCATTCCTGACAGTATCTCAGGGGGAATCTACTGATTATCAAAGATGTGTTATTAGTGTATAAGCTTAAGACAGACAGTCTTTTGGAGACATGCAAATCATAAATTACAATGGTTGCTGTAATTCTCTTACCTTGTCTCCCCAGGGTACTTTGGGAGGGACTGTGTTGATGTATGCAACTTGAACCCATGTGAGCATGTCTCCACATGTGTGCACAAACCTAGCTCATCCCACGGATACACCTGTGAATGTGGACAAAGCTACTATGGACAGTACTGCGAAAGCAAGTAAGAGAATTATTTTGTTCTTGGTTTCTTGATCCTGCCAAGAAGCTCTTCACCTAAGGCAGCAGTCCTCCCACTTCCTGTTCTGCTCTGATAAACTTTCCTGTTACAATTTGAGAGGTATTTTAGGCTCTGTTGCCTTTTGGCATTCCTGAGCTCTTCCCAGAAACTAGACATGGTATTCAGGAGCCACTTTGCTTCATCAGCTGCTCAGGGACTCAACCACTTCTTCTGTGTTGCACAGCACTGCATCTCACCTGTACTTTGTGGTGGGTTTGGCCTGAATTTGCTCTGCATCTCTCTTCCAGCTTCTCCAGCACACAGAGCGATGCACCTGTTTGGTGCCCTGTAGCAAGATAAAGTCTCTCTGCAGTGTAGGTCCAGTCCCTGGGCTGGCAAAGAGCCATCTCTTCTGGACAGTCTGGGGCCTGTGTCTGTTGCTTTGTGGGAGAAACGTGCTGATTCCCTCGTCAGCAGCTTCCTGATCTTTGATAAGCATTCAGCAACCAGCCTTATCCCAGAGGCGGCGCTTTGATTTACTGTAATATGGGCCATTCATAATGTGCAAATGAAGTGCATTTGTCTGCCCATTTAGGAATGGCTCATGTGATGTTTCCTTCCCTTTGAAAACTGCAAGCTTCTTCCTCTGCCTTTTGTAGTGTGGGCTTGCAAATGTTGGCCATGCTGTTGCCAGATTTGTCTTTCATTCCTCTGGATTAGCGACACAGAGACATTGTCCCTTGTCATCTGCTGACATGTGTCAAGTGCAACATTGTGGTTTTCATATTCTAAAGCATAGAAGTACAAACCTACCAATTACCATAAATAAAACTGGTATTGGTCTTCAAAACAGACAAAAATGAAAATAGCTTTTCTTTCCTAAAAATGAGCAGCAGGGAGGGGATACTTTGGGCATTACCAGCATCTCAGATCCCTTGTCCTTCAGGCTATTGCTTGACAAAGACTCTCAGCTATCACAGAATCAGAGCTCTCCTTGCCAGAACTAGTGTTGGGGCATCTGTGGGATAACCAGCTCAGAGGCTCACCCAGATGAAATAGTCCCAGTGAGAATGGGGGTTTTCCTTCTGCAGGGGTGGCCTTTGGCTTGCTGCTTAGCTTCCAGTGCTGCTGCACTCACTCTGAATCATCGTCTTTGATCCACAGTCCAGATCAAAGCTGCCACCCTGCCCTCTTCCATGTCCCCAGCCATGGGTCCTCTGTCTCTCCTGAGGCAGACCAGGGCTTTTCAGATCTTGTAGCGAACAGTCCGAGAAAGCCAGGTTGGCTGAGAGTAGTGGCTTTTCTTTATAGGATGGGCTTGCAGACAGCTTTGCACCTGAGCTGGTGTCCCTGTGGGCTGGGGCAGGATGGGGATGGGGAGTGGCATATAGAGTGTTGGAGAGCTGTACTCCAAGGCAGTTTGTGGTGGTAGATAAACCAGGGCACAGGCTCAGAGCCTGCACTTGAAAATACTTAGAAAAACATTCCCTCTAGGTTTTCATGGCACTGATATTCTATATTTTCCCATATTATACTGTATTTGTGTTTATATATGTATTGGTTGTTTCTTGAGATACATTACTGTTTGTAAGATGATGCAGTTGACTGCAGATTTGGCCCAAAGCTTTTTTTTCTCACTTTTTAAGAGGGAGCTTAAAACAACTTTCTTTCAATTTGATTTTTTTAATAGGATAGACCTACCTTGTCCCAGAGGTTGGTGGGGAAATCCCATCTGTGGCCCATGTAATTGTGAGACTAGTAAAGGGTTTGATTCTGATTGCAATAAGACCAATGGAGAATGCCACTGCAAGGTAAGCAAAACAAACTATTCTTAAGTCAAAATTTCTTTAGTTTAAAAAGAAACTGTACCACTAATAATTACAAGTGAGTATCTGATACAAAGTACACACAGTTGTGCTTTGTATCATATATATATGTATGTGCACAGTGGAGTTAATCATTACCCAAAACATTTTGCTGGCACCACCCTTCTCCAAATCATACTGTGCAGCTCTTATCTTGTTTGTGTTTGGAAAACCGAGCTGAGAGGATGAAAGCCTGGCTCTGATCTCTGAAGTGCAGCCTGGTTTATCAGGGGAGATCAGACTGGGGTGCAGAGGAGTGTCAGTGGGGTTTTGTGCATCACAAGTGAGTAACAGCCATGAAACAGCTCAGGCCAGCTGGCTGAAGCTCTCCCCTGTGCTATGGCCAGCAAAAGGCCTGGCAGCTGGAGAGAGCTGCAGGGCTAAATGCTTTCCTCATCTCTGGACAGGCAGGGACAGATGGGGGACATGGGAGGGGAAGCACCTCATCATGAAGGTTTCACAAAGGGCTTCTCACAATAGGTTTTAAACTGGCTTGAATGACATCAGAGAAGCTGGGCTTGTGCAGATTGGTGGCTGTGAAGCTGGCCCCCTGCTCCTTTCCGAAATGCCAGCAGGACACACAGCAACTGTTGCATTAAATGGAGTCAGCGGGGTGCCAGCTCCATGCTCTTGTGCAATCCTAATGCCTCAGATCAAACGCATGTACAGAGGAGATTTGAATATGGGATCATTGTGTGCGCTCCACCCTCTACGTGAAACACAAATGCACAGTGCGGGAAGTTTCCTTAGTGGCTCGCTCATGCCATACAAGAGCAGAATTGCAAAGCTGAGAAAACTGTAAATCCTTCAAGAATATGTTTGGTGGGCACTTGCAACAAGTGCCCGAGGAGTAACGTGGGCCCTGTGGCTCCACTGCAAATGGCAGTGGAGCCACACTGGGTCTCTGATAATAGTAACGTAACTTTTATCTGTGCTCTGCAAAATGAGCAGTTTGGAAGTCAAATACCTCGTGTCTATCATTTTGGTTTTTCTAGGCCAATTACTACAGGCCCCAAAGCAGTGACACCTGCTACCCCTGTGACTGCTTCCCATCTGGCTCCCACACACGCGCCTGCGACATGGAGACGGGACAGTGTCCTTGCAAGCCCGGCGTCATCGGGCGGCAGTGCAACCGCTGCGACAACCCCTTTGCAGAGGTCACCGTGAGGGGCTGTGAAGGTACCTCTGCCCAGCCACGCTGCCCAGCCGTGCTGCAGCACCACGCTGCCCAGCCACACTGCCCAGCCGTGCTGCCCAGCCACGCTGCCCAGCCACGCTGCCCAGCCACACTGCCCAGCCGTGCTGCCCAGCCACGCTGCCCAGCCACGCTGCCCAGCCGTGCTGCAGCGCGGGATCGGAGCCGCTGGCAGCGCACAGATGGGGACACTGCAGGGGACAGCCCTGGGGTGCTGTGAGCCCAGCAGCCTGGCTCCAGCAGTGGGGGCAATGGGGGCTGCAGCAGCCTAAACATACACCCCTCCTCCTAGATATGGGCCAGTATGACTCACGGGGGCTGAGGGAATGGGAAAAAAGCTCTTATCTCTTTAATTTTTCTCATATGGAAATATAGCCAGCTGAGGTGGAGTAGGGGGAGCAAAAGACTAGCACCAGCTTTTCCTTAAACCTGAGTTCATGTGCCAGTGCAGTGTCGTATTGCTGAGCTGCAGCTGAAGAGGCTGGTGAGAGCCCTCACACCTTTTGCCCACAGAGGCGCCGTGCCGTTCACCTCGTGCACTCTGCCTTCCTTCCCCATCTTGCCCATCCTGCCTTTCCTCTCACCCACCCACCCACCCACTGTCCTCCTGTGATCAGCACAAAGCTGCTGCAACAGCAGTGTGTGGGCAAAATGAAGGAGAAATGTTTTCCCACAATAAAGGAGCAAGCAGAGATAGTCAGAGCCAAAATCCAGAGCCCCATAATCATCCCGAGCTCTCCTCTGCCTGTACCTGTCTGTCCAATCTGTTGGATAAGGAGCAACTGATGGGTTACAGCTTGGAAGGCACTGCAGAGGACAGGTATCCTGACAGGGCTTTGGAATTACAGGAAGATCCTTCAGGCAGGTTGAAATGTCTCACTGTTGTGATTTTTATCTTGTCAGAAATATTGCATCATTTCTTTTTCTGCTTTCAGTAATTTATAATGGCTGTCCCAAAGCTTTTGAGGCTGGTATTTGGTGGCCACAGACCAAGTTTGGCCAGCCAGCTGCTGTGCCTTGTCCTAAGGGATCAGTGGGTAAGTTCCCTGGGTAAATAATTAAATAATTACCTACTTTATCTGCATGCCTCTTAAAAAAAAAAAAAAAAAAAATTGTACGTAGGGAATACCATTAATTCATTTGGTTTAGAGACTGCAGCATAGCTTATATATCATGAGCAGAAAAGTATAGCTAGCTGAAATCAAAGACCTGTTAAAATACATTTGAAATACTAGCAATAAATAAATGTAACAGTACAGCAGATATACATGTATAAAGCACAGAAATTCTCTATTTTCAAAAAAGAAGAGCCCAATTTTCTATTTATCAAGTAATTCTTACACATGTAACTTTCTAGTTTCTAGTGACTTATAAGTGTTCTTTAGCCATACAGTTCCTCTGGGCAAAGATAAAATTAGGAAAATCATATTCCTGATGACTGCTTTACTAGGATTGCAGCCTACTAAAGACAAGAGTTGCAACAAAACCCAAATTTTCCCACACAATATCTTTTCCATAAACAAAACAGCTGAAAAACACCTTTTATAAAGCAGATGAGCTATACTGTTTTGTACAACAGGCAAATGACAATCTGCTTTTTCATATATGTCTCTGAAAACATGTATCAGATTTTTGAAAATAGAGTTCCCAATCTTTTCCAAAGGCTGTTCTGTGGGAAATGAAAACTCTGTCTTGGCTCTGGACCTGGTAACTCTGCTGTGAGTGTTCCTTAGGCTCAGGCAGTTATAAATAGTTATGTGACTGCCCCAAATATTTCTAGGGGGAGGCCACTGCTTATAGGTGTGCAGATTTGTGGTCAACCTAGCTCCTGCTCTAAAGATTTTAGGAGATAGAAATTTATTTTTTTTTAGGTGAAGAATATTTTCATGATTAAGCAGTATAAAGCTGAATTAAAATGAGTTTTCTGCACTGTTCTTGAAGTGTTTCACCCAAGTGTCTCTTCTAGGCAATGTTGCTTATAGTAATTGCACGTTCTAAGTAAATGTTACCAATCATTCAAAGTAATCCTTATAGTAATTGCCGCACGATACAACAGCAATGAATATTCAGACTAAGAACCTGAGGCTTAATTGTATTCACCTAGTAATGGAAGAGAAATAATATAATTAGATATAGTAAAATTAATTATAGTTCTTATTTAGATATTAGTAGTTAAATGGCTTAGACATAGGCAGTATGTTATGTGCAAATTAACTAGCACGAACGTAAATTTTGAATTATATTACTTGCAATTCATGGTAAAGGATCCTCAGCCAAGAATTGCATTTTAAAATTATTTGACAAATAGTACAAAATATAATAAGCTAAATTAAACAGTAAGCTGCTCATGGTCCATTTACAAGTGACAAAAAGGTAATTATCCATGTTGATTGAAGTGTTTAGCACATGCAGTATGCAGATATGTGGGCATGTGTTGGTGTGAATACAGCATTTGTCCAGGAGGTCTTCCTATGCAGGCTATTGCGCAGAAATCTCAGCAGGGGTTGGTTTTCCGGAATACTTAGGAAGTGCAGAGTCTTTCTCTTTTTTGGGATAAAGAAATTAATTAATTAATTTGAGAGCAATCTGGCAGTGAGGCTGAGAGCAGTTGGGCAGAGCTTGGAGTTTACCTGACTTTTCTCCAAAGCCTGGCAAAAGCAACTCCTGGAGATTAGTAGTCCTTAACTTTTCTCTCACAGGAATTCCCTGTTTGGAAATTGAAATACATGTGTAGCTTTGAGCAACTTAAAAATGTAGGAAATCTGAAAGTCTAGGATAGTGAAATCTGTGAATATTTACCCTGCACAATTCAGAACGTTGTTTGCCATTGATGCTTTGTCTCCTTCAGGAAATGCCGTCCGGCATTGTAACATTGAGAAGGGCTGGCTGCCTCCCGAGCTTTTCAACTGCACCACCAACACTTTTGTGGATCTAAAAGTCATGGTAAGCTGGGTTTTCTCAGTTTTCCCTTTATTTTGTAAATAATGACCAGTTTGGACTCCAGTTTGATGTCCCTGCACTCAGTCTTTTGACTACAACCTTAAACAGCCTCATTTTCCGTCAGAACCCTGGTGCTTTTCTGGCTCTCAGTTACATCTGCCATTGAGTTTTCTTGCCAACTCTTTCTCAAGACAAACAAAATTTTGAATTTTGACCGAACAATTCCTGTGTGCCAAAAATCCCTGAATTGTGATTGTCTTTGTAACTAGAATGAAAAAAAATAGATATATACATAAAATTGGATTTTTTTCTCCCTTTTTATCTGATTCAGAATGAGAAGTTACACCACAATGAGACCAAGCTGGATGGAGAGAAAACCATACGGATCGTGAGAGCGCTGCAGAATGCCACCAAGTATACACACAGCTTGTATGGCAATGACGTGAGGACAGCTTACCAGATAATGATCCGGGTCCTCCAGTATGAGAGCCAGCAGCAAGGGTTTGACTTGGCAGCCACAAGGGATGTGGAATTCAATGAGGTAAGAGAAATACTGTATACTGTGCTGAGCCCTTACTGTTTCCCTTGAAAATTAGGTGGCAGTGGGTAATTAAATTTGTCTTTGACCAAGGTGTAGCTAATATTGTGTAATTGCCTAATCTGTTCCACAAATAAGCCTTTCTTCTCAGATTAGAATGGAAAGTTGGTTATGCATGTGTCTATGCACGCATGTGTATGTGTAATACAAATATAATAGAATGTGCTTTTCTAAAAAATATCATCATAGTAGCAGCCAAAAGCAATATTCCCCATATGAAAAGAAATCATCAAGTTAATGTGTTTTTCATGCCTAAAATAGTTTTGTGTACTATATTTATTTTTGTTGTAAAACATGCCTAATGTGATCCTGCTCATTTAAATGTGCAGCGAATTAAGTCTGAGCCAGTTACTGATTCTGAAGGTTTCCTCTAATTCAGTTTGAGAATACTTGAGTCATGAGTTAGTACATTGAAAGACATTCCATATCATTGGTATTTTAAGGCACATACTAAAATGTGTGCCAGAGAGCTTCTGCTACTCAGAGCATTCATGAAAGTCCCAGTTATTACCAAAGATCTGACCAGGGCTAGAGAACAAGCTGTAGCATCTTCCCTGTCTGGTAAAATACGTAGTTGTGGTGGAAAAATGTGAAATTTGGAGTAGTTGGGCATATTCTGTGGTCTGATAATGTGGAGGCTGGATGACCCATGTTAGGCTTGTAGAGCTTTTCTCAATCCCATGTGTACAGGGGGTACTGTTCTCCACTCTTGCCCATACTTTTCCAAGATCCTGGCCATGGCACAACACAGAGTGCAAGCTAAAACATCCATTTGGATCTGTGCTAGCAGAGCCCAGAGCTTGGGCACCAGCATGTGGAACAACCCTCCATGGGTCAAGACTGGCGTCTGTGCTGGCCAAAGATCTGTTTGGCTCCCTGAGAAGGTGTGCTACACCCAAGTCACTGCACACAGTACTCCAGGAGGAGGAGGCAGGTCAGGCAGACCTGGGGTGAAATTGGAGGGGCTGTGCAAAGCCAAGCTGCATCAGGAGAGGATGTCACTGGAGAGTTAGGAGCAGGAAGAAATGCAGCTGAGAAAATTGCTTAGTGTCTCAGACTGTATAATCAGCAGAGAGTGGAGAACTTCTGAAACATTTTACATTTTAGGTGCACCAAATTTTAAGAGACTCTGTTTTTTCTTTCCTGTGGGCTGTGAAGCAGGCCATTCAGATCTTAAAAAGGAACTTCATTTCTAGCATGTTTTGTTAAGTAGAAATATGAACAATAAGCAAAAAAAAAAAAAGAAAAAAAAAACTAGTTTGGAAACATATGCTTTAATTTATTGTTCTCTGCACTTGGCTCTGAATTTCATACAGATAATATTTTCAAGAACTCCCTAAATGTTTTAGGATAGGTCAGGAATTTGAAAACTAATGAGTACAGCTCATGAATAATAGGAGGTAACATCCTAGGCTGAGGAACCACAAGGGGAGAAGGAATTTTTTTTTAATAATCCCACATAGAAGCCTGAAAAATAGATAATAAAAAGCCATAAATAATGTTCACAAACACGGAGGAGGCCTGGTACCAAGTACAGTATGTGTCTCCTGCATTCCTGGGATCCATGTTGTGCTTCTCACCCTGGGTAAAGGTGGTCATATTGGGAGTCTCTTTTAGCTCAGATATGTGCTTCCAACCTCAAACAGTACAGACAGGATACAGATATCTCCTTCTAAACGAAGCCTAAATATTTGTCTTGGCTATTTTAGAGCTGGTGGTGATTAATTCCTACTGCCATTTACGCCAATTTTACCTTAGTTAGGAATTAGGTTTTGTTACAACAACACAGTTCATATGCACACCAAGATTAAAAATTTTTAGCATCTTTCTCATTTAAGCCATTTAGAACACTCTTTTGGGGTCAATCTCCTTCCATTCAGCCTGAGGGTCCCTTTGCATATTTTTCTAAGAAAGGGCAGAAAAGTCAGGTTCTCAGAAAGAAATGCCTTTTTAATACCATTTGTAAGCAATGTAAAAATGGGGAGACAATGACATGATTTAAGTGTTTTTATGTATTTTAAAGTTTGTCTACGCAAGTTAATATTCACTCTTAGCATTCTTCACTGTATAATACGTATTATGTAGGAAACAAAGTAAAAGAAAAAAATAGAGGAAGTGATATTTCTATCCATGACTTTCTTTTGTTTTTCAACAAAAAACCATTATTTTGATTTATCTGGGGAAGTTCTTCACTGTACCTGCTAAGAGCTGTGCTTTTCATGTGTCTGATTTCTTAGAAACAAAGAAAACATGGATAGGTTTTCCTCCTGCATCTTTTGCTCGATTTCTTGTCATTAGGGGGAAGAAAGTAGGCAGTTCTCTTACAGCTCCAATTTTGGCTTACTTTACTTGTAAAAATTTTAGAGGGATTTGCTTTACATGACCAAAAAACCTCTGGGTGAGTAACTGGTGTGCATATTTTTATATGGCTGCAGTAGAACATGGCTGCATTAAATATTTCATTATGCACTCACCTGAGACAGTCAGGCCAATAATTTTCAATGCTTCTCACTTGAAACCCAGCTCTGTGTTTGCTTCATAATTTAGGCTTGTACTTTGTTTCTCAGAATATTATCAAAGTGGGTAGTGCTTTGCTGGACCCTGGCAACAAGGAGCACTGGGAGCAAATTCAGCGAACGGAGGGTGGCACCGCTCACCTGCTCAGGCACTACGAGGAATATTTCAACAATGTGGCCCAGAACATGAAAAAAACCTACATGAGACCTTTTGTCATTGTTGCCACTAACATGAGTGAGTATCTGTGTTGAAAACTGCCATTTTTTTGATTCTTAAAAATGTGCTGGACAGAGATGCTAGTTATTTGTTTTAATAGTACCCACTGAGAAAAACCATTGCATTAGTTTCAAATCCATCGAGCCTTGATCCATATCTTTCAGTTGCCATGGGGGCCTCCTGGGAGATGTCTGATCTGTTCAGCCTCTGGACCATGCCAGTGCTCCATGTGGCTTTTTGTTGCAGTCACAGCAGTGTAGAGATAGTAGGAAGGACTAAGTTTGTAAATAAAGGTAGTGCCTTTTGAGACCAGCTAATATAGTTGAATGTAGTAGATCTCATTTTTGGAGGAATCACACCAACACCACCTGAAGAATTACTGCATTACAAAAAAAGTAACCCTACTATTGATTTTATTGCATATTATTAATCTTACTTGCATAGGTATGGACTACCCAGGGAGGTGGTGGAATTCCCAGCCCTGGAGATGTTCAAGAAACAGCTGGATGTGGCATTTAGTGCTGTGGTCTAGTTGACAGGGTAATGATCTAAATATCAAAGGTTGGACTCAATGATCTTATAGGTCTTTTCCAACCTAGATGATTCTGTGATTATACCCCTGATTTTCACATGCTTTCCTAACTTGGAACCTATCCAGAAAACCATCATCTGTAGAGATTCTTGTACTGAAAGGTATTTTCACAGAAACACCAGTCCTTCAAGACACCTTCCCCACCTATCACAGGAAATTTCTCCTCTGACAAACAAATAGCAGCTCCTGCACGTTGGACTGTGCTGTATTTCATAGACATCCCTGCAGTGCATATGCCGGTGAAGCACAGCAGCCACAGCCTGGTCAGCTTATTTCCCCATTTTCTCCCCTGCTCTCTCTATTTCATTTTCTTCCCAGCTACAAACAGCTGAGGGGGTGTTGATAGTCCTGCCCTGAGTGTGAGGTGAGATGGAGCCAGCTGACTTTCAGAAGTCCCTCACAAGCAGCATAGCTATTTGGTTTTTCTTTCAGAGGTGCTCTAAACTATATCAGCCCGAACTTATATTTAGCTTTTCAAGCTGTTGCTTTTATTTCTGATATGAAGAAGGCTTATGTCCCAAAAGTTGGTCTTATTTTCCCAACTACACCTGCTGTTATAGTAAGAACTTTAATTGGCTACAAACCTTGTCCCAAGAATGTTTTATGTCCACAATTACAGGGGCAGAAAATCAAAGGCGTGAGGCAGTCAAGTTGCAAAGGCTGTAGCATCCTGCATCAACATGACATAGATTACTGTTAACTAAGCCAAACACTTGGATTTTTATTTATAAACCAAAACTGACATACTTTCTTGTGATTCAGGACTATAAGAATCAAAATAGTTTTGTCTTTATACTCAGAAAAAAAATCTGATCAGGATTTTAACCCAACTGAACTGAGATGAAGAAAACAACCCCCAGAATTTCTTGCAGGTTGTAAATCATGATTTTTTTTCAACCAGTTCTTCCTGTGTAAAGAGGTGTGAGCTTGAGAGGGATGAGGCAACTCTGGCCTGAAAGAGGTCTGTTTTCTTTTGAACAGTTTTTCCAGGTGAACATGGTGTTAATAGAGTTTCCTAATGGCTCATCTGGGAGTTAGAAACTAGGAAAGGAATGGGAATTTGCGTGTCTTAACGTGGCTGTTTCTTCGTACAGAAATTTGCAAAGGATCACACCTTTTGGTGTAGGGTTACCCCCAGGACATGTAAATTGGCACTCAGTGACTTGTCTTAAATGAGAAAGTTAAAGCCAACTCAATTGCTTTTAAGTATTTGGGCAGTTAAGCAGGCAGAGATCATGAGGTAAGCTAGGGAGGAACTGGCAGTGGAGGACTAAGGAGTAGTCCCAGATAAAACACGTTATTTTCTTCGTTCAGCTGACTTCACAATCCAACAGGTGTAGAACTATGTTTTTGAAGCAGTAGATTTAGTCTTCCCATTAAAAAGCAAGTCTAAAATTGGAACATGCAGCACACAGTGGAGCAAGCCAGCAGCACATGGAGAAACTCTGTGAAGCAGGAGCATTCACTGAGCAGCAGCCAGGGAAAAGCCTCTGTGAAACCACGGTCAGCTGCTGCTGGAGAAGTACCAGCGAAGGGATCTACCTCGAGATGGGTATTAGCAAAAGTTTCTTCACTGAAACAATTCCCAGGCATTGAAGCAGTTAGCCCAGGGAAGTCACCATCCCTGGAGGTATTTAAGACATGTAGATGTGGCCCTTGGGGACATGGTTTAGTGCTGGACTGGGCAGTGCTGAGTTAACACTTCCACTTGATCTTGGAGATCTTTTGCAACCTTAATGATTTTGGTTCTTTATTTCCAATGTTTCCAGTATGTTTTCATAGTATGAGATACTATCTTGTGAATTCCTTTCCACTAAAAAATAAATGTATAATTTGATAACTGTAACATAATGCTGACACATAAACTTTTAGTTATCATATAAGGTGTTAACAGAAAAAAATTAAATTTTACTTTCTATTTTAAGGTTTAAATTTTTTATCTGCATTGTGCAGTCATTTTAGTCTTTCAATAACATTTCACTGTGGTGATGGGAAACTTTTATCCCCCCCAGTTATTGCTGTTGACATCTTTGACAAGTCTAATTTCACGGGAGCTAGAATACCACGATTTCATGAGATTAAAGAAGATTACCCAAAAGATCTGGAGTCATCTGTTGTCTTCCCTGATACTTTATTCAGACCTTCAGAAAGGAAAGGTAAAACCCTTCTGCTGCTGTTTGGTGAGCAATTATGGCCAGTTCCCAGGGAGCGTGGTGGATCCTCAGGGAGCAGAGTGGAACTGGGGTGAGAGCAGGGCGATTGTCTGCACAAGTGAGCATTATTTAGGGATGGAGCAGCTGTGCATACTTCTGAGGCATTTTGCCTGCCGGCAGTGATGGAGGCATGGGGGGCTGTGGGACTGGCTGTACCTGTCTGTCAGGTCTCACCTGCAGCCCCTCAAAGCCCTGTCAAAGCAGGAGAAATGCTCTGCCTCTGTTCCCACCAGGATAGGATGGGATGGCTGCCCAGTGCCTGCAGTCCCACAGCTGCCTTCCTCCAGTCCCTGCAGAGATGGAGGGAGGTCCAAATCTGGGAGCACAGAGAGGTGTTAGAACTAGGCAGCAATGAAAAAGTCTTGAGCTGGGTGATAAGGGAGAATGCATGGGGAGTACCTGCTTCCCAGTGCCTCTGCAGTATCCCAAGATTGCTGCAGACCACCACAAGGTTTTTGGGCAAAGGGAGAGAGGGTAACTCAAAGTGCAAGATGTGTATTGAACAAAGTTCAATCCATGGTTGAATGTCTTCTGAATGGGGAAATAGTAACTCTTCCAAAAATAATACACAATAAGCTAGTACAACTTTATGACTGTTTGCTTAGAAACAGAGTATATGTTTCTATGATTTGTTTCTTTTCTGTAAGACAAAAGGGAATGGGAATTTTAAGAGAATCTTCCAAAACAGAAAGCTCATTAAATGACAGAATTGGCAGGGAGAAATCTTATGTGTGTAGTTGGTAGGTTCATTAATACTAGTTTTGCCATATATAAATGTACATGCAATTTAGCAGAATGCATAATGTTTTAATGTTCTCCTTAAGTTATGCATGGGGTACTTATATACTTATGGACCTTTTAGCTTAGAAATTGCTTATTTTATAGCTAGACTAAATGGCTTTTCACTGTTCAATGGTTATTTGATTATCAGCAATATAACTATGAATTGTACTGAAATTTTATTAAAAATATCAAGTATAACATTAGAAGCATGCTGAGCGCTCTAAACCTGGAGTTGTAAGAACTCTAATATTACTGTATCTTGACAAAGCAAAATTACCAGTTTAAATGGTAGCTCTGAAGCTGTGTGCAAAGAATTTAATATTTGTGTTGATTCCATAGCAGTGCCTACAATGAAACCTTCAAATCAGAAAATACCCTCTAAGTTGAACGGCGATGTGTTCAGCTCTGAGAGTGCTTTTGCAAAGAGAAAGAAGCGGCACCCAGACACTGAGACACATCATACTGTTGCTATGGTCATCATCTACCGATCCCTGGGACACCTCCTGCCTGAAAACTATGACCCTGACAGGAGAAGCTTGAGGTAAACTTCAGAACTGTTTGTGAATTGTGAATTCAGGTCCCTTCTTCTGCTCTCTGAATGTGTGGGGGAGACAGAGCTGCTGTTATACTGGCCAAATGTCATCAGTGCTGCTGTTCTCACTGCACTACTGTCTCATGTCCTCCTCTGGCACACTGGGGGAGAATAACTATGCCAGAAATGCCAGCAGTTTTGGAGACACATCTGCATGGAAGGCTGTTGGTACACCTGCCTCACTTGCTGAGCAGCAGCACCTGGAGATTTTCTATTTGCAGAACGTAGCTTTGCATTTTGATGTGTAGATCACCGTGTCATTTTTGTCCTTGCGCAGATTGCCAAATCGCCCTATCATCAACACACCTGTAGTGAGCACAGCCATTCACAGTGATGGGGAGTTTCCTCCCAACCTGGTGGAAAAGCCTGTCATAGTGGAGTATGCCATGCTGGAAACAGAGGAGAGAACAAAGCCTGTCTGTGTCTTCTGGAATCACTCCATCACGTATGTCTCCTGCTTGCTTTTGGGCTGTGAGTGACACCATCTGAGTAGCAGAAAACTCCTGCCCTTATCCTGGGAAGATAATTCTGGAGGAAATGCTGTCTTGGTCTGTCTGTTCAACTGACAACTAATTTTTGGTGGAATAGAGCCACATAGTAATTTCCCACCAACCTGAGAAAAATGAAAATAATTATCATAACTCATCAAACAAAGGATTAGCTATGTGGTTTCTAAGAAACACAATGCTGTCATGTCTTTCTGTAGGGTTCATTTTCACCCAGAAACAATAAATCCCACAATTTCCTTGTATTTGCCCATGCTATTTGCCCACAGATGTATGTCTGGACAAACATAGTCCAACTCCAGTGTCTGAATTCATGGCTTGCCTGAGGTCTTTTAGTCAGGATTTTCAGGAGATGATTCAGCTCTTCCATGCGCTGAATATTCTCCTGTTACACTCCAGTGACTATGGACAGAGTAGACAGCAAACAGGCACCTACCCTTGGTGCCTCAGCCAGGGCCTGTGCAAAAAATTACAAAACCAAATCTTCATTTTGGTAGAAATGAGGACAGATTTTGCAGATAAAATTAGGAGTAAAGATTACTAATTTCTGAATCACAAATTTTTGAATCAAAAGTCAATGCAAAGGCAGTTGCACTGGTAAGAAACTTAACTTTCATTTCATCAACTATTGTGGATTTGCTTTCATTTGTTTTAGTGAAAAATTGGAGGGAGTGGAAATACCTTTTATGGGACATTAGACCTTTTCGGCTTATGGAAAGCAATTGTAATATAGAAGCAAAATATAAGGAGAGAGTATTTGACTCTCTAGGAGGGAAGTGTAAGGAAAAAGATGAAGTGTTCTGAGAATCATTCATTTCGTTCTTTTGTATTCAGTAAAGTTCAAGATAAAGACATCTTTTTCTTGAAAATGAGAAAAATTGTATATGAGCTGGAACTGTATATGCTGATGTTTCATTGGTTTTATGGCATTGTGGAAACAGCACAGTCCCGGTGGAGATATTTCAAGAGTGTGGACAAAACAAAAGAAAATGTTTTCTGAATGTTTTCTACATTCATATTATGCTTTCACAATATTATAACTATTGTTACAATATTTCACAATATTGTAACTGTTACATATATGTTGCAATTTCCCGCTACAAACCAAGGTACACAGTGAGAGGATGACCTGGGCTGCCCAGGGGGAAGGGAATAGCTGTTGCTTGTTTCCTAAAAACCAAAAAATTCTAGTAAACCTATGGAAAAATCCATTAAAAGGCAATATTCTGTTGCCTTTTACAACAGCAAACTAACCTAGGGAATGTGTGCCTCCTAGTTAAAGGCTTCAGGAGATTATATCATTTAAAGGATCGAAGATGCAACAGAAATCTCTTATCTTCACAGTAATAAACTCCTCCATTTCCCCACATGTGAAGCAGTGTTTTTCCTTGTATGCACTCTGTCAATCTGCTGATTGTGAGGGAATGGCAAGTCCTTTTTCATAAATTTTTAAACATTGTTTGAGCTTGAATAACTCATTAGCTCTAAAGTGATTCATCTGTTAGCTATTCGCTGGCAACTTCAGTGGCATTGTTATCTGTGTTACGTCTTCCTACAGCCACAATTGAAAAGCAGCTCTTACGTGGCATGGAATGAAAGAGCTGTTAGAAAGAGAGTCCTTTTTGAGAGGAAGGGATATTAAAATTTAACAAATATTTTATTGCTAAATGAAAAAGAGTTCTTGTCATATCTAATCGAAAAATCTTTCAGTAACTGCAATACTATTTTTTTATTACTCATTAACTTCAGAATAGAATAATTAATATTAATACAAAATAATTTCTGAAGTCACTGGAGTTAACCATAACTGCACAGGGAAGAATTTTAAGGCAGCAGTTCCTCCCTACTGTTGATATAAGAGATCTCCTGGTATGAAATATTATTTATTAGAGAAGGTTTTAACCTTTTTTTTCAGAGTAACTGTATAATGGTATCATATTATTGCTGAAACATATTTCACTCAAAAACATATGTCCCTCTGTGGTTCTGGTATTATTTACCTTGGTTACAGACATTTTGCTCAGTGCAATCTCTTTCCCGTATTGGTTGTGTGGCCACTGACCCAAAAGCAAAGTTTTAATTTTTCTTTTTTAAACTCAAAACAGACTGTTATAAACCAAAAAAACCTGGCCAGCTGTCTTATCAGAAACTACTTCAACTGAAGGCCTTTTTAGTTTGATGATACTCTTTCAGGCAGGTGATAGCTATAGATAATTCTGTCCTGGTACTTGCAGTCCTCTCTGGTTGTGCAGTGCAAGCTGCCACAGAGGGCAGGGGAAGGTGAGGGGAGGTTGGAGGATGGTGCTCAGAAATGCCTTTTTTCCCCGCAGGATTGGTGGGACAGGTGCCTGGTCCTCCCGAGGGTGTGAGCTGTTTTCCAGAAACCACAGCCATATCGCTTGCCAGTGCAACCATATAACCAGCTTTGCTGTCCTGATGGACATTTCTAAACGAGAGGTGGGTGATGTCAGGCTCGTGATTTTTGGAAGCTTTGGTTTTCAAGGGCTTTGGCTCAGAGCTTGAGCTTTGTGTGGGACTCAGGGCACTGTCAGCAGATCAGTCCCAGTGTTAGGAGTGTGTTGCCCATGCCTGGCAGCACCTGCCACTGGGTTTGCTGAAAGGACCTTCTTACCTGGTTGGTGTATCCTCTGGGTGCTGCCCATACACACTCAACATGTTTAGCAACTAAAGAGGTGGCATCACCCACTCCTGTTGGTCCCTAATAAATCTGTATGTTGGCTCAGTATAATGAAAACATTGGCATTCTGAGCAGTAGATTTGATTGGAGGAAAAGGCAGGGAAAACCCCAAGAGTTTCTGTCAATCTGTCTTTCTACAGAATGGGGAAGTGCTTCCTCTGAAGATTGTCACTTACACCACCGTATCCATCTCGCTGGCGGCTTTGCTGATCACCTTCATCTTGCTGGTCCTGATCCGCACACTGCGTTCCAACTTGCACAGTATCCACAAAAACCTGGTGGCTGCCCTGTTCTTTTCTGAGCTTGTCTTTCTTATTGGAATCAACCAGACTGAAAACCCGGTAAGACTTACTCTGTATTCATTGCTAGAGTTGTTCTCAAGCTTTAAATCAGAGGGTTCATATTGCAGCTTTTACCTTCTCCCATCTGTTTCACTTTCTCCTCTTTTTGGCTTCAACACTTACTTGAAAAACATCAGATCTTTAGTATATTCACGTGTGGCTGATAACATTAATAGCAATGGCAGGCAATAGAACTATATCTTACTTTCAGAGAATATATGACAGCAGCGCTGTTGAAGGTTTATTCCAGGAACTGAACCTTAAATACTGATTTCTTCCTTCCTTTCCATCAGTGTGTTTTCTGTCTTGCTTTGCCTGTTCAGTAGGAGACACTCCAGTTTCTCCTGCAGCAGGTAGCTCCCAAGCCCAAATGGCTCCTGGTGTAGACTCACAGGTTGTCAGTGAAGTGGTGCTGGTCAGGTGCTAATATGCACACTCTACACCCACTGGCCATTCTGGAGAAGCCACTTGCCAGGCATGGGACAGCTTGCTACACCCAAGATTCAGGAGGAGACCTGTCAGTTTGCTTTGTGCCTTCCAGACACAGTGGTTGTTGGCTTCAGCCCATCATACCTGTTGACAAAGCTTAGTGCAAGGATCTCCAGCATTGTGCATGTCAAGAAATGCAAGTTATGAATAGACTGAGTACAAGATAAACCACACATGAAGTGTGTTCTGTACTTACCACCTCCCTGCTCTCTTAACCATGTGGCATTATATGTAGTCTTGCTGCTGTTTCTTAGTAGCACCTATCCCAAAAGCCATGGCTGCCATTCACACAGGTAAGAGACAGACAAGGGCTCCAGCGCTGCCAGGCTGCACAGGCACCTGTGCCAAACAGGCTGGACACAGATGGGGGATGACGTGCAATAAAATGTATGTCCTTAGTAGATAGGAAAAATATTCAAAATGTTACTTTAGGGATTATCTGAACACTGGGAAGAAATTTTATCTTCTAGAAATCCATTACTGTACATGTTCCAATCTAATTTTAGAGAGGGAAGTACAGTGTTGAGATCAAAACAAAACAACAGCAATAAAAAAATCATGCTCATTTCACATTGTCCAAGCAGCAGAAATAGGAGAATAGGCCTCCATTCAATGAATATCATCACCATCATGGTAGTGACACTGTGGTGCCTAAACAAAGAGCCTCATTTACTGTATGACTTAATCCTACACTGTCACTCTGGCTTCTAATATCCACTTGAGCTATAACATGCATTTTAAAAAGTATCTAACCTTGACTGATTTCACCTTCCAGTAACTGAGTGCTGACAAGAACTTTTCCTAGTAAATTTGAGAGACCTTTCTTATAAAAATTGTCTTGCCAGGAAACCTGTTTAATAGTATTTATTTTGGAAAACTGTATAAAACTAAGCTGCTTAAATTATTCAAATTCCAAGATTCAGATTCATTTGTTGGGTTTTTTTCTGGGCTTCTTCTCCCACCTTACCTTTTGAAAAACTGTGAATGCCAGACTGGATAAAGCTTTCCAGCTGGGTGCATCACTTCCAATTCTGTATACCAGTACTCCCCTTTACCAGAAACTCAGGTCCTTTATCTGCTGCTATGGTGAGATCTTCTGCAGTGACCTGCACTCTGGGATATGGTCTCATGTCATGTGTGAACTTGTGTTGTCTTTGTTTCATTATATAAATATTTGCATACTAAAATAACTTTGCTGAAAGGAGCTCACCTTGCCAATTGATACACAGCACTCTGTGTAACATGACCTTTCCCATGCCTTGCTGAGCACACCACTCATTTTTCACTGCATTTCACTACCAAGGGATAGTTAATACTCTCAGTTCTCCAACACACCTACTGAGGAATTGGGGGCCAAGTCCACATCCCTACAGAATTTTACCAAAAATTATGCCGTGAATGATGGCTCCTCATTTCCAGATTCCTTTCATAGTGTCATGAAACACCAAGCAGAGGTTTATAAAAGTAGTAAAACAGTTCATTACATCAATACCACAAATCCTAATGGTCATACTTGGTGAGACTGTTCTCTTTTGCTCCTTCTCATTTCCATGCTTTGGGGCTCATGATGTGATCATGTTCTGTAGTGTTACCAGGACACTGGTAACACCCCAATCCTTTAAACCATTTACAAAGATCTTTAATTTTAGAATGTATTTCATGCAGCAGAAAGCTGCTCCTTACAGCCTACCCAGTCAATTTGAGAAGGTAGGAGGGCTGTAAGCCGTGTCTGCTTGAGACAATTATTCATCTGTCTGTATGGAATGAGAGTTGTCTAACGAGTCATGCACTGATGAACATAAAGAGGTAAAGAATGCTGGAGCGCAAATAATGCTGTGCTGCTTGGCACCCAGCCTGGCTTTTATGGGTTTCTGTAAATTAACAGTCACATTTCTGGGTGAGGTTTTAATCTTTCCCTGGACTATTGATAGAAAGTGATTTATTTTCTTTCTTTTTTCTTACCTGAAAAAGGTAATGTTCAGGGCAGCACTCTGCTCAGGGGCGTGTGAGAATAGGAACAAGAAAAGCACTACTTAGATAGAGGGAAGAAAGATGGTTTATTTAGTGAGCCACCTTTTCAATAACACATGATGTTATAATAATGCTGATGTGGTAAGTGAATACAGAAAGTTGGCAGTCTGTATGATTCTTTTGCTCAGCAAAGAGGTTAAATGTACATTAAACAGGGAAACGTACATTTCTGAGCATTACGCCATGAAAAACCACTAAAAAGTCATGCCAAAGTCTGAAAGCAGGGTCAGTGCTGCACAGAAACAAAAGGTTACAAAACACAATATAAAACATTTTCGAACAAAAACTGAATGGTTGCACAAAGTTCTCTTAATTCAAGCTTATCAACAGATGCTTGGCAAAATCCTTTGTTTGGCTTCTGAAAGGAGAAGGTTAATTGCAAGATTACAATTCAGGTGTCAGATGCTTGTGTTCATTCTTGTTTTCATGCATCAAACTATTAAGTTGGGAGAGAAAATTGGTTAGCAGAAGTTACAGAAGGGCAAGTATCTGAAGGTCATGGGTTTCAAGGTGGCTCTTTGATCCCAAAGATGACTTCAGCTACCAGTGTGCCAGTTGTAGCTGTAACTTGTAGTCTCACTGTGGACCTGGTCTCTGATTTCAGCAAGTCCTTAAATTTTGCTGCTCTCAGCCTGACAGAGCTTAGTGATCCACTTTACTTTAAAAAAGCAAAATCTCTCACAGTATGAGCAGCTCTTCTTAAACTCTGAAAAACTGATTTCAAGGCAGTATATTTGTTCTGCCAAAATCTTTTTATTACGCTTGCCATTAGCTACATGGGGGGAACGAGTGACTCACAGGGTTGTGATTCAGAAGAGCAATTCTAATTTCCCTGCCCTTTCCCTTCTGCAGTTTGTGTGTACTGTGATTGCCATCCTCCTGCATTATTTCTACATGAGCACCTTTGCATGGATGTTTGTGGAGCAGCTCCACATCTACCGGATGCTGACTGAAGTGAGGAACATCAACTTCGGGCACATGCGGTTCTACTACGTTGTTGGCTGGGGCATTCCTGCCATCATAACAGGTACCCTCAAGCACCCCAAAAAAGTTTACTTTCCCTGCCATCTTCACTGTCCAGGTTCAGGGAAGTTATCCCACGCCAGACAGCTATGGGTGTTTTCCTGAAGCAGGGCAGCACCAAGTCATGTCTAGCAGAAGTCAGCCTGAATTTTGCAGATTTGTGTACCAAATGTTTGTTGCCCTAGCTGAAGTGATACTGATGGTTATCCAGTAACAGAAACATAATTGCACAGATTAAACCAGGACTTGATAATATTGCTTGGGAATAACAGTATTTTTATTTGAACAACTTTGCCAGTAGCTTTCAGAAATTTTCCTTGCCCGTGCTGGTGCCTCCAGATATGGACACATGGTCTCTGAGGTAACTGCAGTGCTTCAGAAGCAATGCTGCCTGCCCACAGGACATTACTGCCCTTCACTGGACATTCCCACTGCCTACTGTCGACCAGCAGTAAATACTTCTGAAGGGAATTTCAGTGGCTATGTTTTATTTGGCATAAAACCAAGCTGGGAATACTCAAGCTGCCTTTTACTTAATTTCAGATACAAAGGCTGTAACTTTCAGCTGAGGAAGAGTAATGAAAATCTGGAGGCAGTAATCTTTTAAACCAGTCCAGAGTGATCTACTGGAGCACATCCATCTCCGCCCTCACCGTGCCTATTTTTGCCGTAGACATTTCCAGCGTTACCCTAAGCACACGGCGCTGTGTTAATTCAGGCAGACAGCTCCTCAGGAACTGTGCTTCATGGAACAGTTGGAGTGAGGATTTTTGGTTCAACTGTTTCAGCATGTATCTCTTGCCATATGGGAAATCACATCCTAGGCAGGCAGTTAACTTTTTTCCAATTAGTTTTATTTTTACAGATAATATCATACTGTCAGCAGTGGCAGAGCTTTAGATGTCTCTGAGATCAAACAAATAGCTATCACTCATGCACACTTGCAAAAATATTATGGAACAAGTTAGATTTAAAAATACATACTTGTTCTTTTTTTTCTGTGTGTTTTAAGAAAGTGCAATATGAAATCACAACATAGGCTGGTATAGGTTAATTCTCTCTTCAGGGAGCTGGTAAGTTTTTCCATACATTTTCTGCCTAATAATTTCTACTTCTATCAGTTTATAGTAAAAAGCACCACCCAGAAGGCTCTGCCATTTTAGTTGTACCCCAGGCATTTAAAATAGAAATTGTCCTTGAACTTCTGAAGCATTTCGGACCTGTGTGACTTTTACCAGTACTTGCAGGGCTACTGCAGTATTTTCAGGAACACTGAAGTGCAATCAGATATTTGGCAGCATCATTTCTAGCAGAAAAGAAGTATCATTAAATAACAAAAACTAATTAAATTTCAGAACTCATTATCTTTAGAAGAATTTGTTGGAAGGAGTTTCTGCTTAAGGTTACTTTCTCTCTGAAATCTAAATTCAGACCTTCTCAACAGCAGTATTATGCAATTTAAATATCACAAGCATACCATTTCTACATTTTTCTACTTAGTTACTGCTCTCTGATATGAAACTTTTTTTAGCACTTTTGAAACTTTCCAGGTTTTGTCCTGCAATTCAATCCCCAAATCTACTGAATTTGCAGTTCTGTTTAAATGAAAAGTCAGATCCCTATTACTGAGAAAGTCAGGGGATTTTGTGAAATGGGGGATAAAGAAAAGTAAGCCTTTAGTTTGCCCTTCCAGGCTTATAAATCATCTGAGGAGAAAATTGTTTCATCATAAGTAGCACAATGTAGGATTTCTTGCCTCTAGATAACTTGTTACTGTACATATTTTAATTAAGCTTCTTTATAAATTTTAATTTATAAACAGTAAAGAGGTTCCAACTTCATAACACGAATCCTAAACATTATTTAAATTGATTTATGAGAGAAGGATTGTTTATTTTTCTTAGTTGTGGTATAGTTTAGATATGGAAAGAAATTTTAGTCTTGGGACATGCAGAGTTTTTTATTTTAAAGAAAAATACCATTTCATCTTCATCATAGCTGTCCTGAGAGAGGGAAAAAAAAACCCCAAAACTACAGTAGCAGTGGATTTTTGTATATTATTTTTTCTACTTTCTATGCTCAAACTGCTATTCATTTCAAGCTGGGACATAGTGGTCCTAAGGCATCTGTGATGGGATCAAGCTACTTGAAGAAAGGAACCTTGGCCTTTAGAGGGGGATAACACTTAGTAAAATGTTTATTCCAACGGGGAAGAACCACATTTAATCACAGCAGAGAAATGCAAATTGCCATGAATAAGAATAGGATAGAAGTTGGGAGAAGGCTTACTGCCATCAAAACAGTGTGGATCTGGAATAGTCCTCCATTGGGAGTGATAGTGGAACATTTAAAATCAGCTTTAATCTTGCTCATTTTAAAGTGTAGTTTGATCCATCTTGGAGAGGGATTTTATGACTTCCTTGCCACAGGAGCAAAGGGCTGGATTTGGCACTCAGCAAGATCCCCCCTGTTCTGCCTGTCTCCATGGCAGCACGCTAACTGCTTGACATATGTGTGCAGTGACTGCTTTGCCATGGAGACTGCAGCCCTAAAACCTATATCCCCCAGAAACTGGCACTTTTCAAATCCTAAGCAAAGCAATTAATCAGGAGAGAGTTGAGGCTGCCCCATAGCTGCTTGAGTCACACATGGCTGCTGAGCCCTCAGGAGCTCAGAAAGGTCAAAACATGCCTCTCCTGCAGCCCTTGGCACACGCCTGTGTGTGTGCTGGGGATGGGTGCTGGTCTCCACAGGACTCCTGGCCACAGGACCAGCCCCAGTTCCTGCAAATGTTAGCAAGGTATCACTTAGCTTGCACACTCGGTCTGTTAAGGGCAACCAGGCTGCAGCATTTAATTGATGTGCCAAAATATTTCTCAGTATTACATTGCATTGGCTTCATTCTGCCTTTGAGTAAAGTGTTATTTCACGTGTTGTTGACTGCAGTACTATTTGAACCATGTACCTGAAGACTGCAATTTGCCCCATTTGTTTAACAGAGAACTTCAGGGTAGGATTTTGAGAGTGAAAAAATATTTCTGTCTGCCAATTACTCATAGAGCCAGAGTCCCATTAATGGGCAAATCCAGTCCTGGGAAACAGACTGTATCCACAGAATTACATCTGTATAAAATACTTTATGGTCTCTTAATCATTTATGGCTAATTCTTTCTGGATGGCAACTGCTGAAGGGGGTGGTGGAAGGGCCAATGGGAGCAGGAAGGGAGACTAGTCCTATCTCATTCCACATTTCAGTGAAAACAGATCCAATATCCACTGCTTTGCCAAATAGCCAGTTTAGTTTTCATAGACCATAGGCCTGTACCAGATGTGAATATTGGCTGTGGGCCAGTTCTAAGCAGCAAGAGTGAAATGCAGCTACCTTTCCCTTTCTCAGTGTCCTTTCATCAAAGCATGCAGGCATCAATTCAGAAAAAGATGACTCTCAGTGCAGACGAGCCCTCCTTGTAGAGAGCAGCACTGCGGTCAGCCGTGGCCGCCTCTGGAGACAGGACATACGCTCGTCGCAGTTGGTGTCCCCGTGCCCAGACAACATGCTGCAGCCACCTGCCATCTGCCACTGGCCACAGGCCTCCCAGGGATCGCTTTCTGTGTCCTGGAGAAGGAAGATCTCTGCAGACAGGATACACCTGTCTCAAAGGGGGGAAAGGATCTTTGCACAGGAATTACAGGGCTCGTTAAAAGAGCTTTAAACTGGGTTTGAATGGGGAAAGGGATATAACCAAGCTCACTAGAGGCAAGTGAGGGCAGAATGCCAGTGTTTGTGGGATAGCGTGGCAGTGACTCCTTCTGTCTGCCATCTCAGTGGAGGCTGGGGTTGGAGATCCCTGTGGCAGCAAAGATGCAGGTGTGTCTGTGTTAGAAACCATTAGAATGGTTACCTTTGTTAGGGGATGTTTTGACTGTCTGGAGCTTGATGTTGGTGATAAAAGAGTTGAGTGTTTATGGGTAAGAATCATCAGGAAGGACAAGACAGATACCACAGTAAGAGTCTATTATAGACCATCCAACCAGGATGAAGAGGCAGAGGAAATATTTTACAAGCAGCTGAGAGAAGTCTCACCATCTCTAGTCCTTGTTCATGTGGGGGACTTCAACTTAACAGGTGTCTGCTGGGAATACAACACAGCAGAGTATAGTCCCAGAGGTTCCTGGAGTGTGTGGAAGGGAACTTCCTGATGCAGCTGATGAGTGAGCCGGCAAAGGGAGATACCCCACTGGACCTGTTCATTGGGAACAGAGAAGGACTGGTGGGTGACGTGATGGCTGGAGACTGTCTTGGACACAATGATAGTTTTCAAAAATTCTCTTAGAAGTAAGGTGGGGATTCAGCAGAACTTCCACCTTGGACTTTCACAGGGCTGACTTTAGTCTGTTTAGAGGCCTAACTCACAGAGTCTCTTGGGAAGCAGTCACGAAGGACGAAGTTGTCCAGGAAGGCTGAACGTTCCTCAAGCAGGAAGCCCTAAAGGCACGGGAGCAGCCGTGGTCCCCGTGTGGTGTAAGACAAACCAATGGGGAAGACCAGCCTGGATGACTCAGGAGGACTAAAAGGATGTTGTGATCATCCCCCTGTACCAGCGCTGGTGAAGCCACACTGTGAATCAGTTCAGTTTTGGGGCCTTCACTACAAGGAAGACATTGAGGCACTGGAGCGCGTCCAAGAGGAGCTGGTGAAGGGTCTGGAACACAAGTTTCGTGAGGAGCAGCTGAGGGAGCTGGGGGTGTTTAGCCCAGAGAAAAGAAGTCTCAGAGGACACCTTACGTGAAAGGTCTCTTCCAACCTAAACAATTCTTTAGCTGTATGATTTTGCAGGCCAAAGACAAATCCCAGTCCATCACCATATGAGTGAGGTGTAGGTCACCAACTCAGAGAGCACTGTAAATCAGCAGGTGAATGTTGGGCTGAGAGAACCCCTTGGATTGGCCAGATTTTGAAAAATAAAATAATCAAAGGTGTGGTTTTAACTCGTTTGCCTTGGGGCATTAACTGCGTTTCAGACAGTACCAAAAGAAGGGTGAGGTACCTGGGATGGCACTTCAATATGAATCCCACCTGAGCTCAAGCAGTTTACTCCCATAAGTTCCCAGGTTCCTTTGTCTCTGATGTTATTTCAGTGACAGCAAGTTAAGAATGCACTTTTTTTTTTCATAGCATAGACATCTCCTCAGTTATGATTCATGTCATTCTGCTGCACAGGCTTATTGAAATTCCTCAACACATCACTCACCCTCAAGGCTCACACTGTGTGAGAATGACTGTACAACTGTGCTGAAACAGAATTTGGGACTTGCATTTTTTGTCATTTTTATGTAGTTGAACTTTGTTCTAGTTGGCAAAACTCAGAGTATTGTTTGATATGAAGTAACCAGGATGAAGATTTTGATTTACAAAATTTTATTTCAGTTTTTGCCTTCACAGAATTTCCTGTTGAATAAATTTTGCCATTACAATTTTGTTTATTTGAAACTACATTTGGCTATAGGCAGCACCTTTCTGATTTAGTTTTTCTCCACTTTGCGACACAGGGCTTGCTGTTGGTCTGGATCCACAAGGCTATGGGAATCCTGATTTCTGCTGGCTGTCTGTTCATGACACCCTGATCTGGAGTTTCGCTGGGCCCATCGTAATGGTTGTTGTTGTAAGTAGGGGAGTTGGCATCCAGAACTGTCTCTTCTTTACTGCTATCTTTTCTCCTAAGTTTTGTTAAGCAGTAGTCATGCAAAGCAACCATGTTCTTTACCTTTGAAGCAAATGTACTTGAGCTTGCATCTTTTGCTTAAATAGGTAAGACATGAGCTAAGCTCCTGGAAAATCAGAGGGCTGCTTGCCCATATGAAGATTGCTTGTGGAGCAGTGGCTGTATGGCCAGAAACTTATTTCTCACTTGCTTTGTTCCATTTTTGAAGGGTTGGTCTGTGAGATTAGGAAATAAATCAATAAAATGAGCCGTAACAAGTCACTTCATCCAGAAGTCCTAAAGGAATATTAAATATTTCCACTTCAGGAATTTAAAAGAATGGACTGCTGTTTAACTTTTCCTTACAGCTTCTCCATCAAAGTAACACCAGAAGATAAATAGTCATGGTTTGATTCTTATCTTGAATGCCAAATGCAAGTTCTGGTCTCCTTGCCTCTAAAAGTAGACCTGGAAGCAGTGTAGGTTATGGTCACAAATCATGAGAGACGTGGGACAGCCCCCACTGGAGGACCAACAAGTGGACTAGGAGTCTTAAGCCTGGAGAAATAAAGGCTGCAGAGAAGGGAGGAAGGAGGAGCCTAATAGTGTAATAGTGTGTTGGTCTGGAGAAAATGGCTATGGACCCAACCATTCAAAATCTTTCCCAACACAAGCAGTAGCAGGTGGCAGCAGATCTAGCAGAAACAGGACAAGCTACATCATTTCTCCATAGCATTTTAAGTTAGAAATTCCTAGAAACAGGACAATGGCAGTGGTAAAACTCTACATGGTTTTGGAAAGTGAGTGATGAGACAAATTCTCAGCATTAATATTCACTACAAGTGATGAAGTACAAATGCATCACCAACCTAGTACATCCCATCTGACATGGAAATCAGTGGAAACTGGAGGTTTATTCAGAGTAATTATCACTGTATGTTCTGCTAGAAAATATTGCTAAATTCTGGTTTGACCAACTGGAACAAGGTTCTGGGCTGAGGTGGACACTGATTTGGACAAGGACAGCCATTCTTTCCCTCAAGCATCTTTGCATAGGGTTGTCTTATTGAGTTTCATCCAGATCAAGCGCTAGGATGTCCTTGACTATGTTGCCTTGAAACTAGGTGAATCTTGGAATTTAGAGACCTGTAAGTTGAACAAGAAATATTCTTGGTGCCACAAACCATTTTAGGATAAAAATTGCATTGTTATTGAAAATAGAGCTGTAACAAATGTACAGAAAGAATCCATGCTGTTATTTCAATTTGCCTTTCAGATAAACACTGTCATTTTTATACTAGCAATGAAAGCATCATGCAGACGAAGGCAACGTTCATTTGAAAAAACAGGAGTCATGTAAGTTTCAATTCAAAAACCTGTAGACATTCTGACCAGAAATAATAAAAGCCAGAATTGCCTAAGATCAAGTTTTGGAGCAGGAAATAAAAATGTTTTTTTGGAGGAGAGTTTTGGTAGAGGCATTTGGAGCTGCTTCATCCCACCCTCTCCTGGGGTTCCCTTGGAGATCCTGTAAAATTTCCACCATGGTGCTCTGCACCACCAAGTGTAGGCAGGAGAAAGGAGAAGGGAAAGATCTATCCTCCAGGTAGTGTCATTGCAGTCCTTCCAGATCTTTCATTATAGTCTCTTCTACACTGTCACTTCACCTCTGCCCAGGCATGCCCAGACTGACATCATTCTGGGACTCCCTGTGCTTGTCCAGGGCTCAGAAGGGTCTCCCCTCTGAGTGCTGGGTTACCAGCTGTGTCATGGCAGAGACCCACTGACATTCCCATGCTGAGGGCCAGCCTCCCTGCATCCCATGCTCACTGGGATGAGCAACATGACAAGTTGCAACCTGCCACCTTCCTGAGCTGTTGTGACAGCCTATTCTCATTAACATCTGTTTTGCCCAAAGCTCAGAATTTACCTGTGAACTCAAATGTGATTAGCTAGTGGCAGTACAGCCCCTTGGGTTTTTTTTTTTCCAACGAGGTAGCTGTATGAGATTTCAAATGGCAGCTTTTCATTTTTGTTTTTCAGCTCTGGCTGTAGGGTACTGTGTGCACATTGGCATGGCTTTTCCACCCCTGGTGTCCCTGGAGCTAGATTTTGTGGTTCTCTGAACCTTAACACTAACACTAAGCTTAATGAAAACTAGAATCTGAGAGTGAGCTCCCCAGCAACATGGGTGGCCCAGTTAATAGCAGTGTGGAAGGAGCAATGTTGGTGCAGTGCCATGCTCCCCTTGGCATGCCCTTCAAGCCCCAGTTTCCAAGCAGCTGTCAACTTTGTGCATTCTGAACCCTGACCCCAATAGTGTCTGGCTGTTGAGGATGAGATCTAAATCTTCCTAAACCAAGGAGTATAACTGCTACCTAATGGCAGCAATTTTACTCATAATATAAAACTTTTGCCACTAGATTTGTTTCTGTCTTTTGAAAGTGTTTGTGGAAATTGTATTTTTAAGCAAAGAAAATTTCCCTAAGTACCCTCAATCCAAAACCTTGGGTGGTAACGTTGGGAAGGAATTTGAGAGTAAAGGTGACAAACTGCAATGAGATGGACATGGCCATTTACCACCCAGACGTGTTCCTCAGAGTCATCAAGGCTGAACAGCTTGGGCTTGTAAAACAGTCAGATTTGTTTAAAGAAAGTCTTGGAAATAAACTTGAAAAGAAATCACTTTTTAAACATGAACATGCTAAGCTGTGGAGTGTTACTGCGAGAGAGCTGGAAAGTTGTGGAAACTGGGAGCTGGTGAACACTGCCCTAATTTTCCCAAAGGGCTTTTCCAGTTGCCAAGTTGTTGGGCACATAACACCATCCATAGGGAGAAGTTGGGCTGTTCTCTTGTATCCCATCACACTGCAAAAGTCCATCTGTGTTTGCTTTACAGCCCCGTGCTGCGGACAGCATTCCTGCTGCTGCTGCTTATCAGCGCCACGTGGCTGCTGGGGCTCATGGCAGTCAACAGCGACGTCATGACGTTTCACTATCTCTTTGCCATTTTCAGCTGCCTGCAGGTAAGTTGGATAGCATCTTGTCTGTGGTAGACCTTGGTGAGCACACTACCACACCCAGACCTCCAAAAACCTGCTCAACATGAGCTAACTTAAGAAAAACAGAGATCTCAAGGCAATTTTTGCTTTCTCTTCTCAAGGAGAGGGTTCTTTTCACCAAAACTATAACTTTGAGTAATTATATCTCTCACTGTTAGTCATTCTCAAGATAAGTGCACTACCATAGTAACCTGTGACAGTAGGCAGGTATACCTCTGTCATTCTAGAGACAAAGTCTTTGTTGCTGTGTTCTGTGTGCTCATTGTTGCTATTGCAAATGAGAGACTGCTGTATTTCACCCCGAGTCAATGGCTCCAAGTTCAAGGCTTTCACAAATTAAGCTACTGTTTAAAGAAATTAGACAAATAAGGATTTTCAAATACAATGTGAGTTGTGTCATGGGTTGCCTGTCCCATTTTACACAATTGTTGACTAAAGACGCAGAAAATAGTTATTTGTAGGAGACATGGCATGCAAGTAGTCACAGAGCTTCATGTGGTCACAATTTGAATGTGACCAAGGATGACAGTAACTGCCCTAGCAGGTGCCTGCAGTACTAAAACAGCTACTGCAGGACACTCAGCTGCAGCACAACAGCCACAACTTGCAGGCACAGAGAAAACAAAGTCTGATGGGTCTCCTTTGGAGGCGGCTGTCAGTGCCCTGGAAGCACAGCAGATAGGTCAGCCTGGAGCAAGATTATTTTGCCACTGCAACTAGTGTGCTCCGTAATAAATGCACCTCAGGCTATAAAACCAGGCTTCCACAAATCTAAAATAAAACTAAATTAAACATAAACCCGATGAAAGGGAAGAAGGTCAGCAGGTGGAATTCTCCAAACTTGCCCAGAGAGGCACAGTGGTATGTGGCATTTCACATCACTGCCTTCTTTGAACTTTTGTTTTTAAAGAGACATTTATGAGAATTTTATTAATGAATAATCCCAAAGTGCTAGTGCCAGCTAAGATCACATTTGATTGAATGTTAAGAAAGTGAGCTTGAAGTTTAAAGTTACTCTAAGTCAATTGCTTTGGCTGAAATCATGAAATTCAGGCTTCCTATGATGTTGGTACAGCTGCAACTTCATGAGTATTGACTTCTCTATACTGTGTGTCCAACCAAAGTTGATAACAATTTGGCAGCTGCCTTAATTCCCTCAGAGCAAGTAATCTGAAGGCACACACTTGTGTGTGCCCTGCCCCCAGCAAAAGCTGTTAATGTGTGTTCCTGGTAGCCAACAACTTCCCAGCCCTGGGGACTTCACTGATTTTCCCACCAGAGGTATTCCTTAACCAAGGAACTTAGGCAACAGAAGTTGGGACCTCTGTCCTTCCAGTACCTCTTCACATCTCACAAGGCTTTCTAAAATTCTCTTAGATGCAGTATTAAGAACTCCTTTCACAGAAGTTGCCTATTTCCAGAGGCTTTCACTAAAGGCTGTGATATTTTTTCATGTGCTGCTATTGATTTTTTCTCATCATCAAAAATCCAAAAAGCTCCAAAATCCCAAATTCTAAAATCTTTGCAATGTTTTCAAGGGGGACATTGAGGTTTCCTTTGGATTTCTTCCCAAATCAAGCTCTGCTCTGTAAATTCTGGAGAAATGCATATTTTTGTATATTTTCCCAGGCCTTTAGTGCACATTTGAACTTGAAATCAAATTATGAAGAAGTGCTGGGAGATCAATCAATGCCATTTCAGTCAAGAAAGAAAATAGTTACTGCTTTTGAAATACACTGTCATGGACTACAAACTAGAATTCAGGGTTTTTTTCAAAATGGGTAATATCTATATTACCCATTTTGGATAATATTCTGTAATATCTATATTTGCAATATGGTAGTAGTGAAGCATTTACATTTTCCTCTCTCTGAAATTATCCAGGGGCTGTTCATTTTCTTCTTCCACTGCGTATTTAACAAAGAAGTGAGAAAGCACTTGAAGAACACTTTAACTGGAAAGAAACCTCTTCCAGACGATTCCACTGCAACAAGAGCTACATTGTTAACGGTAAGAAAAACAGCTTTGGGAGAAAAAAAATCCTCTTGCTGGCAGAAGTTACCTAAAATAAATTTATATGTGGCTTATCTGTAATTAAGTGAACTGAATGATTGCTTTCAGTGACTTGTACAAATACTACTGATGGCTACTCTCTAAAGTTTTGATTATTATTTTAATTTAAACCTTCAAGAGAAAATAATTCTTTTCCCTGGCATCAAAACCCATTTGGTTCTTTGAAACTTAATACATTTGAGGGTAACATGAGCTTCTGGCAGGATCATTCACCATGGCTTTATGTCTTTTTTTTTTTTCCCTTTCAGCGATCTCTGAACTGCAACAACACTTATATAGAAGAGCCAAACATGTATCGCACAACTATGGGGGAATCCACTGTCTCCCTAGAAAGCACCGTCAGGTCAGCCAAGAGCCACAATAGCTACCTTGCTTATATTCTCAGGTAATCCGGTGGCAGGTGCATGGCTTTCAGGTGCTTGCCTTTCCCTTTTTTATTGCTCTTGTGGAAACCAGAGCTCTGGTTCAAATGCTCCTTGGTTTATGTCTTTGCAGTTCTGTTTCATGTGACTGTCATTCTCCTTGGTGCATTTTCTGTTGCATGTGTCTTCGGGGCAGGTTCCAGCAGTGCAGTGCTTGACCTAAGAGTGATGTTACCTGTATGGGCCGTGCTGCTACAGATGTGTCTCAAGGAGCACAGTTCAGCTCATTAGCTTGGGGCTTTTTCAGAGTGTGATTTGTGTGGCACAAGGCAGATAGCTACATCAGGATAACCTCTGTCTCACCGTAAAGTGACTGCTGTCTGCATGTCTGCCTTGTCTGCCATGTTGTTAAAAACAACAAAGTAAAGTGACAGGTTGTCCTCTGTTTTTCTTCTCAAAGGGATGAGGCTGCTCACAAACTCAGTGGATCCTCAAGTCAAGCAAGGGCTGGTCAGACTGAAGCAGATTCCTCCATTTTTCATAGGAATCCATCCAAATCCAATGGTAAGAATAGTTTCTAAATGCTTTGACCCATTTGTGCACCTTCTTCTCATCACTTTCTTTGAAGTCTTCTGTAACAGGAAGAATAATTGCAATAATTAGATGGTCTCATTCTCCCACAAAACAAGCCGTGCAGTGGCTGCCTTACAAGGAAACCCTGGAATGAAAGTATCATTTATCTACTGCTTCTGATGGTTTAATTTTTATCTGATGCTGTCACAGCTATTGACAGTTTATGGAGTCCCCTTTCTTTCTCACAAGTTATGTACTGTTGCTCTTCATTTTTAGTTGGAGAAATTTTAATGTTTGAGACCTTGAGGCAATATTCTCCTTTACTGCTCTGTGGTTTGTACAAAAAAATGAGAAGTGCCTTTTGTCTGATTTCCTTTCATTCTGATCTTAACATTCAATTTTGTTTCCTTGTAGCAGTTTTTAAGTTAAGTTCATTACATATTCTTGGTATTTCTAGATAACTTGTTTTGCCTGTGTGTTGTGTTCATTGAGATCAAATAGAGTTACTGTTCTGCATGTTAAATAGGGAAAAATATGTTCCCACTCTGTTCTGCTCGTCCTGTATGTGTAAAAGGTCCTGCCCACTAGCTGAGCTGAGTGGTTGTGCTTCCCAGTGGTTGTGCTGCAGTCCTTCTGAATTTATCCTGTATACACTTACAGATATAAGAGCTCATTCCTGTCACAGCCTGAACCAATGCCTTTCTTTCCTTTCTCCTTGTGCATTTGTCAGGTAGATTTGTTCAACTCCTATTTACACTTTCACCACTGTGTTTCCCCACCCACACTTGCAGAGCACGATTCAGACTCTGACAGCGAGCTGTCCCTCGATGAACACAGCAGTTCCTACGCCTCTTCCCATTCATCGGACAGCGAGGAGGATGGACTCGAGACAGAGAAGAAGTGGAGCACATCTACTTCCAAAAACAATGAACATGGCCCACTCCACAGCACACCCAAAGGTACCCCCAGTGCGAGGGAAGGGCAGTGGTGCTCTAAAATTGCTTTAGATTAGATGGGATAAATTTGCCATGCTACCATGCAGTTGAGGCAGCATCTCTACCTCTGTGCCTTGCTTCTGTCAGGATCCTTGTTGTTTCCAGCTTAGAGACCTTTCTTCTCCCAAAGGCTTGTTCACAGGGGTGACTGAGTACACAATCACACAGAATGCTGAATGCCTTAAAGCAGGCAGCTTTGCAGGCAGATCCTCAAAGTACTTGGACATGGCATTACCAAGCCAGCAAAATCTCATATGAAAAAGAGGAGAAAGCAGGCACTTGTTTTGAGGGCAAGGGGAAGAAATGCCTGCCTCTCCTCATGCAATAAAGGCATTGGTGTTGGGGAGGTCCTGGACCTAAATGGTTGGCAACCATTGACCATTAATATAATTTATGTGTGTCAGGGTGCAGGCATTTCTAAACATAGTTGATCCTGACCTAATGAAAAGCAACTTTGAATGATAAACATCCAGGCTGTGTGCTGTGGCTCTTCACAGATACAGCACAGGGTACCTGGGGTGCCCTCAGCCTTCAGAAACTAACCTCCCCAAGGAGGGATTTCTGACCCTGGAGAGCTGAGAGGGCAGGTTTGCCTCACACTTCTCCATAATTGAGCTGGCAACCTCACTTTGAAAAGGGTTTGGATACTCTGCCATCCTACCAGGTGATTTTTGGGGATTTAATGCACCCCAAGGGCAGTGCAGTCCATCAAGGACTGACTGAAGGATTGCTCTGGTTTGATACACAGCTCCTCTCCAGCCACAGAGGCCAAGCAGTGGTTGAAAGAACATATCAAAGGTGTTTTTTGAGTTAGTGTTTTTTTGCATTGCAGTTGATACCCTTCCCAATCATGTGAAACCCTATTGGCCCACAGAGTGCGTAACAGCCAGCGATGGCGAGGATCCCGGTAGGAAACAAAAACTCAAAGTAGAGACCAAGGTCAACGTAGAGCTTCACAGGGAAAACCAGGTGAACCACAGCAATGAAGCACCCCAGGACAAGGAGAACGAAGGGCAGCAGAAGGAGAACAGACCTCTGGCCCACCAGAATAACCAGCAGCCGGAGCAGAGGAAAGGTAGTACAGCCAACCCAGCCTCACAGTTGGATTGGGAGACTGGGGGGTTAACAAGCATTAAGTAATTAAAAAGGTAGCTCTGTCAGGGAAAAATACTTTCCAAATGGCTCCAACCTGTGTAGCCGGATATACACCATGGGAAGCTAGTAGTTATTTGCTGTAGTCTTTCTTATCTGTTGGTTATGAAATAAAGTGCCAAACATTATTTCATAACCAACTAAAAGTCTTAGTAAGAAATAGAGACTGTAACATCTCGCATGTGCTTAGCTTGATAAATTAAATTATTGATACACTTAAAAAATTTTATTATTCCCTCTTTTCCTTAACAGGCATCTTAAAAAATAAAGTTACCTACCCTCCCCCACTGGTGGATAAGAATATGAAGAATCGTTTGCGGGAAAAGCTGTCGGATTACAATCAGAGCACAGTCTCATCCAGGACTACTTCCCTAGGGACAAATGAGGGGGTCCGCTCTCCTTCGGACTCAGGGGTAACAGTGAAAAATGTTCGGAGGGAGCAGTCTCGAGACCAGCTCAATGGCATGGCCATGAACCTCCACGTGGGAACAGGACATGCTGACACCTCAGACTCAGAGTAAGTGCCACGTTGGGATGTCCTGGCTGACCTCCTATGGTCTCACCCTTCATCTTCCAACCCCAGACTCACACATGAACAAAACTTTCCTCTGGTGACTGGCCAGAGTCCTTCACCGGTGACTGTCTTGGTGGTTTGCCCATACCATGTCCCCAGGCCATGGGATTTCAGTCATGAGAAGGCCAAAACAGGCATCATGGGCAAGGTGCTGCCACTGGGTCACCCTGGCTTGCTCTGCCCTGCCACCCTGCCAGGAATGGGTGGGGAAAGGCACAAGGCTGTGGGGAGCATGGTGTGAGCATCCGTCTGGGCAGAGGGAAATGATGGCTGAGGCAGGAGACTCCAAGGCTGGAGAGGAAACCAAGCTACTGATCCTAAATTACCAGGCATGTGATTCCCACTTGCTGCATAGCAATCAGTGTGTCAATTTACCACTGTAAACTAAATCAAGTATAAACAAAAGGCTGAGCAAGCTCTCAGCCAAAGGGAATTCTCAGAAACCTCATTACTCATCATAATTCTTGCATTTCAAATTACGACAACAGCCATATGTAAAGTCTCTGCAGGCATTTTATGCATATAGTCTCATTTTTTATTAACATGAATCATAGTCTTATTCTTTCACCAAACCAAGAGAAAATTTTGCACCCAGCTTTAACTCTGACACTGTCCCACCAGGCTTTAAATGCCCCAGTTGTTTGGTGCACAGACCATTCCCACCTCACTATAAAAGCACATCTTTGGATTGCTGGGAGTTGGCTGATGAAATAGATCCTAGTTAGCCAGGAAATATGAACGTTTTGAATCAGCCATAACTGAATAAGCTGCTACCAGGTAACACAGAGATGAGAATAACTCAGCAGCTTGTACTAAGCAACTGTGTTATCTCCAGAGCTTTGGCATAATGGAAAGCTCTGCTGTTGGCAGCAGATTGCATGAATCCATCTGATACACCAGGCTTCTAACCTGTGTGTGAACCTTGTATCCTCAGCAAAGCATTAGACAAGTACAAGCCCTCTGTAGGACTGCCTCTAAAGCATTTCTGTTGTGTACTACCTGAAATTGTTTCTCCCAGCTGGTCTTCCCCTCCAGGACAGCATGCCCCTTGCAAGCATTGGATTGGCAAGGCAGCATGAGCCCTTACTAGAAAGGATTAGGTGGGTTTGGGTGGAGTGGTTTGCCTGTGCCTGTTTAACCCTAAGCCTGCACAATCACTTCTTCTCACTAACAGCGGCAGTAATGAAACTTCAATTTGAACCATCAGGAAATTGTGATCACCTCTGCGCGGTTCCGCCTCCTCGCCGCGCTGCCCGCCTCGCACTTCATCGGAGTGGCCACACGGTGAGGGGGATGAGGTGGGCATCCATTCCCACGTGGTTTCACCTTCTGGCAGAATGCTGACTGCTCCCGGGGCAGGCACAGTCCCGGCTGCTCCGGCAGTAAGGGCTCTGTGTGGTACGCTCCTCCCACAGGAACCCACGCTGCAAAGATGGGAATGGAAACAGGGGTGCACGGTGATGGACAGAGACTGTGCACGGTGCAGGCAGTGCTGCAGGGGTTGCTTGTTGCAGGGGAGAACCAAGGAAGAACACATTGCTTCCTAGTGGACCTACACAAGCCTGAAGACAAGCACTAGGAGGTGTCTCTTGCGGAGTTTTGATGGCTGCAGCGTGAAGCCTTGAGGTTGCTGAGCTCTAGGGAGGAATATTGCAACAAGTGTCCTTTGGTTTCTATGCCAGCATCTCTGTCCACCCCTCTACGGACACGTCGTCTTAAGAAAAAAAACCTTTATATATATATATAAAAAGTGTAGATACTTTTATATATTTTGTATGGTGTTGCTAAAGAAAAAGTTCCTTTGTATATTTTACATTTATACTGATCCTCTTAATTTGATAATAGGAAATCAATTAAAAAGATGTTTTGATATTTTTTATATGAACATTGCACAATTTTACTTGAATTTGGCGTTTGGTAAGTAACTGAGGTTTGCATGGAAGCCACCTTCAGACACAATGCAGTTTTCAAAGTAATACAGTAAAGATTACATCAAAATCCATGACTATAATTTATAAGTTTTGTTAACAGATTTTGGAACGCTTGGAGGGCACGGTATGTTTTTCTCATAACCTCTTCTAAAACCCACAAAAATTTCTTTTTTTCATTTTTTGGCATTTTGATCTCTTCTCACAAGTGCATTGAAGTGTTCAGGAACTGAACTTCAGGACTACACATACTTCTGTGTAAGATTTCAACGCAGTCCTTGTCTGGAAGAAGTCAAATCAGTATTTCCCTTACTAAGAACAAGAAAATAATTGGTGTGATTGTATGTCTCTGCGACAAACCAGCACTCTGCATGTCCCAGGGAGAGGGCCCTCCTCCCATGGCTCAAGTTCTGCCTCAGGTGCAATATTTTTTTCCTCTTTTTTGCTCACTGGATTCAGCACATTGAGAATCAAAGCAGAAATACAAGACTTACTTAAAAGATGTCCAGATTTGTCTGCCCAGCTCTTTGACAAAGCCCTGGCCTTCTTGATATTTCAGAAAGCTCATGGAAGGCTTAAGGTTTCATGTTTCCCACAAAATGTGCTGGTTTCACAGGTATAGGAAAGTTAAGCATGACCTGTCTGCTGTCTTCACCTTCCTGCAATGTTTACAACAAGAGGAAAAATAAGATGTGGAAAAGTTTGCATCCAGCAGTGTGAGGCAGAGCTGAGCTGGTGGCTCCATGGTGGGAATACCATGTGACATATGATGTGTCTCCAAGGATGACAGTGGTGTGCCTGTGCCTGCTCTCTGCCAACAAGGCTTTCAGGAGCTCCTTGTTCACCATAGCAGCCCTTTTGGGAAAATACTGGCTATTGTTTGTGCAAATGTGTGTGAAAGGGAAGAAACAGAAAATCGGGCTAAATAAAATGCAGGAGTTGAGGAAAAGATGAGAAACTGTATACTGTAATCTGGGTTTCATTGTATTCCTATGCATTTTCAAAGTATCAAGGAGGCCTTTGGAAGGGGAGAAGGAGGAAAGATGCTGTTCCTTTAAAAATTATGCAACATCCTCTGTGACATTTTCTGACAGAAAAAAATTTTGAATGTTTTAAGGGTCTGGCACTTGGCTGTGTGCTCAGGCATTGTGTATAACCCATGCTAGTTGTTCTTACATCTGTGTATGTATATTTTGTCCCAGTAGATGTAGGTAGTTTTTATTTTGATCAGAACTGTCGCAGTAAATGAGGGTCAGTTGTATTAATGACAAAAAAATTAAAACCTATTTTTATGACTTTTTAAAAGCTTTATGGCAGATTAGACACTGGAAGTTTGTTTTTGTTTTTTTTTTTTAACAAATGTATATTTATTAATGTGCAGAACACTGGAATTGCAGCACAGATGAAAGGAGAATTTACAATAAATTAAGAAATTTTTTTGAACTTGTATTCTTCCTCTGGTGGTTTATTTTTAAGTGCAGCACAGATAATGAGGGTCCAAATGGCATTTCCTGGAGATTATCAGGAGCAGGAACATCCAGGTACCCACCTCAGCAGAGGCTGTACAGCACCAACCAGCCAATGCACACCCCCTTGCAGCCCAGGGCCCCGTGCTGGCACAGTGTGCTGCACATTTCAGCCCAAACCTGCAGATCCTTCAGACCTGGGAAATGGTCCATGGAAGAGAAACGCCCTCTGCTCACCCAGAGCAAAGCAGATCACCAGGAAAGCATCAGATTTGGAAAAGGACCTGTGAGAGCAGCTCGAGGGGAGTGGCAGCCAGCCCAGCCCAGGACAGCCTGCAGTGGGTGACAAAGGCCTTCTCAGACAGTCTGGGCTCCCTCCTTGGCTCTCCCAAGCCATGGTCCTGCTCACTCAGTCCTTTCCAGGCTGCTGTGCCAGTCCTCAGCCATGCATCTCGCAAGGCACAGCAGTGACCTGCGCATGTCTTGTCAGCTTTCTGGAAATTAGAGGATTTCTCAGTGTCAACTGGCCAGGTGAAGCCAGGTGGAAAGAGCCTGGCTACTGACTTAGGAGCAAAATCAAATCTTCAGGATCTTCAGTTTGGAAACAGCTCTGCCAAAACTTGCCACTAATCAAACTCAAGTAATTATCCCAAAGGGAAACTGGTTTTAATTTTATTGGACAAGTGCATTATTTGGTGGAACACTGAGTTTTTTCTCAAGTATTAGTTCACCATTCTGTGGAGAAGCAGAACTAAGCCTCAGGCTTTCACATAAGCAGGTTAGTGAAGGGAGAGACCAGCCTGTGATCCTGTCTCCAGCAGCATATGTTTAGGAAAAGAGGATTATCAGACACACCTTACATGGGTCCACAGCCCCCAGCTCTCTGCAGCTCAGGGCTTCCCAGAGCAAGGGGCTGTGCTTGTCTCCAGCAACACATCTATTTCCCTCATACATTTTTTGTGTTGTTTTGGATCCATTTAAACTGCTACTACACAGCAGGCTGCCTGATTCAGTCACGAGCAGCAAGAAAAATTTCTTCCTTCAGCTTCATTGCTGTCCCCTGCACCTTTGTTGCTTGCAGCAGGAGAGGCAGTGATAATCATCTCTCAGTCACCTTCTCCAGGTCAAAGAGAGAGACAGGCTCTGTCCTAGAGCACTTGAGTCATCTCTTTCCAGCTGGGCAGCTTGGATCTCTGTAACTGTTCCATGTGCAGAAACACTGCTGTACCTTTTACCCTTCCTGCCCTTCTTCACCCCATTACCAGGCCAACTATATAAAAAGGCTTTTGGTGGTGGCAGGGAGAGGAGAGACCAGAGCAGTCCACAAAATGCAAGCAGTAGGCCTCCAACACCCCCCAAAAAAAGGAAATAATTTAAGAAATCTCCATTTCATTCACTTTTCCTGTCCTAATCTTTACAATGGTATTTGGCCTAAGCAAATTGCAGCAAAAAATTCCATAAAGGATGCACCACTGGCAGCAGCATGGCATGGTAAGGCTGCAGTAACATAAGCAGTCACATAGCCCAGCCTCTTCAACAACTCAATGTACTCAAATATCTTCAAATATACTCAGGGATCTGTCTAAAAGTCCTAAACAATCATTCCAGTAGAATTGCCTGCAATAGCGTTTCTGAGCATTTATTTCTCAGCTGCAGAGGATGCTCCTGCCAAGCCCTGGGGGGATCACAGAAAGGAGCTCCCCAGCAGCCCTGGTGAGACATCACCACTGCCCACACCAGCACCAGCTGCAGCTCCAGGAGCAGTCTGGGATGCATTTGGGCCTCACAGCCTCCTCTGCAGAGGTTCTGCCCTGCCTTTATGCTCCTGCTCACACATGTGCAACTCACTTCTCCTCCCTAAAAGAAGCAATTTGTACTGTACTCCTTTTCCATTTTAATCTATTGATTTTTGGATCCATCCTCCAGTTTCTCATACTCATTTTGGATTTTAGTCTTGTCCATGAGGATGCCTGGAGGCAGCATCAGCAACCTTTACAAGCTACCTTTTATTTTATCATTCAAATGATGAATGAAAATATCAAATAAAACTAAGCCCAAGAGGGCTTTTGTAACACTTCTTGCCAAGCAAGTTGTGCACCTACCTCGTATCGATTAACATCAGCTGCACTGACAGCGTTCTGTGTATGAGAATAGTGTGGGGCAATGTCAAACCATTTACTGAAGACATGTTCCATCTGCTGCTGCTGCTCCTTCATCCACCGTGCCAGGCACTGTATTAAAGAAAATTAGATTAATCTGAAGTGTGTGTGGCAAAGAGACCATGTTAACTCATTATTGTCTTCTAAAGACTTCAAAGCATTTGTAAGTGCCCCAGGAACCCCCAGAGCTCTGTACTGCGCTGGTGTGTCCCCTTCTGCCTTGGTCAGACATCTGCTGCTGCCACCCCTCTGCTCAAAGATACTTCTGAATAGAAGAGTACCCACTCCTTCAAACGAAGATTTTGCACAGTTTGAACATATTGTCTTTATTTGAGGGAGGGCCCAGACTGATTTCCCTGTGGACTGATCCTTCATGGAGGTGCTGTGAGAGGCCAGGCTCTGCCCTGGGTCAGGAGACACTGACTGGAGCTGACTGTCAGGAGCAGAGCTGAGACCCCTCTTAGGGAGAGAGCTGTGCTGAAGGTGAGAAGTGCCCTGTCTCCTGAGCTGCCATGTGTCCCAGGGCCATCCTCAGCCAAAACGTGGCGTGCCCTGCCCAGCATGCCCTGACTTCTGGAGCCCCTCCTGACCTCCTCAAAGCCATCCCTTTACATGATGCACCCAGGAAACAGAAATGAGCTCACAGCTCTGGCTTTCCAGGCGCTGCCACTCTAATTGATTACAATAGTTGTAGTGCAACCAGCTGGCTGGTTTGCTGTACTAGTTTTTTACAGATTGGGGCGTTTCCCCTCCAGAGATGTAAGAGCTTGCAAACCCAACAACCCCTTGGGTAAGTGCAGGAAAACCTCTTGCTTTTGGTCATTTCATGGAGGCTCTTTGGAAGTCCAGCCTGTATTGTGCTTTCCAAGCAGAGAGCATAGAGTTGGGTCTGTGTTTTTGTTAGATATTCATACACTCAAGGAAACAGTGAGCATGGTAAGTCCTGTATGTATAAATAGGGCAGCTGAAGCAGAGGGTCCTTGTGAATGAGCCACTCCCTTCAGGTTAGGCACATCTCACTGAATCCCATACAAAGCAGCAGCAGCTGTGGTTAAGAGCCAGCACAGTGAAGAGATTTCCAGGGGAAACTGTAAATCAGCCATTGATTTTGAGAAAAATCAATACCTTTCA